TGCGCCGCGATGGCGCAGAGGGGGGAACACATCATGTGCCTCGAAGGCGCAGGAGCAGCAAGTAGGCAGCGCACCGCGAGGGTGCATGTAGACTTGTCATGTGCCGCGACGGCGCATTCTCTCCCTTACTCTGATCTCTGTGCCTCTCTCTCTCTCTCTCTCTCTCTCTCTCTCAGGCTGTCTGTGCCACTTTCGACGATGCGCCGTGATATCAGTGGCCACTGCCTGAGTTACGGTGTCTGGGCGCTTTGTTGCTGCTCCCTCGAAGATGTTCTGGTTGCGCACACGCAGTCACCGTAAGGCTGTGACAGCGTCGACCGGGCAGAATGCAGTAGTCAGTAGCCTCAATCGTGGAAGAAGCCCCGAATGTGTTCATATAGCGACTAGAACCGCAATGAGCAGACTCCGTCTGGAATGACTGTGACGGGCAGTCGAAGTTGCAAACCACTTTTCTTTCTGCCGAGGCTGCCGCGGAAGACGCTCTCCGCTACTAGAGGCCCAGTGCACAGCTGCGGCCAGCCCACCAGCCAGTTCGTCGTGCTAGCATGTTGACTACCGTTCTATGCCATCAGCAGGCATTGTCTACATCTCTGATCTTTGCAGCCGGAAGTCTGGGCCCTACGACGACCGGTCTGAGTCGGGTTCACTCGTCGCGGTAGGCACCTGGATCATTAAGATCCCTTCGTGAGGGGTTCCTATAAAGTACCTTTAACAGTTTTGGATGCTTCCGGGGGACTGGGGATGATTGAAAGCCGAAACCCTCCACCCCAGAGAAAAAGCAATCCGAAACCCAACCCCAGCTCGTCACCCAAAAGTTTCTGTGGATGGAATAAGCACAGAAGAAAGTATGCATGCACATAATGCGTCACAGACACCGGTGTTGTGGGGGCGCTCTTGGCCGGTGATGTCGGGCTCTTGAGCCGGGCATTCATCTCCGACATCAGCTCGCTGACCATTGCCTCTGCAGGGAGCTACTGCAGAACTCCGTGATAGATGCCGTCTGGCCTACAGACTCCGAGGAAGTCTGCGGGATCCGGGATCCCGCCGGTTTGGCTGGAGGCCAGCAGTAGCCTTTCCGCCATTCCAACGCTTCCCAGACCCTGCCAGAGGCGAATGCTTTGTTTTACTTCGCCGCAGATATCTCAGTTTTGGGGTTTCAGGCAAGACAGGATGTGGGAGGGACCGGGCCCAGGCAGAGTTTGGGGGCAAGGGCCGGATAGGGGCCACGGCCTGGGTAAAGGTGCGCAGATGCGCGCGCGCACCTGCGATTTTCACATTGGCGAAAGAGCTCATGAACATGAAAGCTGACGGAAGATACTTGAGATTTGGATTTAAAAGCTGAGGGTGAAGGTTGATAGACTTGTCGTGCCAGCGGTGGGCGACTCACCCGTCAGTACCGGTACTGACGGGTGAGAGCCAGGGTCTGGCCCTATCCATCCGAGGGCTGAGACAGAGGGTCCTTCTCTCAGCAGCCTGGGTAGACATACACCCGCAGGGCTCTCACCGTTCAGTACCGGTACTGACGGGTGAGTGGCGGCACCGGTGTCCCGGATCATGTCTCAGCTTTGATTGGCGCAGGTTTGGATTTATTTCGCTGGGGCACGGCCTTGGATCGCTGTTGCCTGCCGTAGTCATGCCGAGTCCAAGACCCTCTGCCTAGAGCCAACCAAGTTGCTTTCTCATTAATGCAGCTTTAATGACAATTGCAGGACGAAGCCTGCAAATTGAGGTCGTCGCAGGCAGCTGCCCAAGCTACTCTGCTCTCGAGTCCCAGGCTGCGGAGGACATGCTTACTGCCCGCGCTGCGCAGGCAGGCTCTTTCGACCCGGGATCAGCTAGTACCAACATCATCAACTCCTGCCGAGGGCCTCCTCGAGACAGAGATGCAAGAAGAGATGGAGTCGAAGGCAAGAGCGTCAAGAGTGACAAAGGATGAAGGTCTTAGTGAGAAGTTGCACGACCGAGGAGGAGCTGACAGAAGCGCTCGCGACTCTCAGCAAGGAGGAGGTGGGGAGCAAATACTTTACATCTGCCGATGAGCTTAGACTTCATCGGTGCAAGGCTACCCTACACCAGTGCTTGGTCTTTGAGATGCGCACGGCTACGCACGCAGAAGCTACTTAATGGAGATTCTGCGGTGGCTCCCTGCACAGGCAAGGATCAGGGACCTGATGTCGGAGATGAGAGGCCCCACTCCCACATCGCCGGCCGAAAGGACCCCCCGACAACACCGGCGTCTGTGATGCATTATATGAAAGATCCTTTCTTCTGTGCTTATCCGTCCACAGAAATGACCCAGGTGCCTTCCGGAAGTGACTCCGACCAAGACGGTCACATGGACTCCTAGTAATAGTACGCATGGCCCGGGTTACACTCCACAAACCTTCACTTGGTGTAAGTCTCAGGGCCCAGCTGCCAAGCCGCTCAGATGATGTAGATGCCTGCTGTAGTCAATCAGCCTGCCACCCGGTGGCCCAGAATCGTCATAGTCTGTCAACACGCTAGCGCTCGTGGACCGGCACAGCTGTGCACTGGCACTGGGCCTCTAGTGGAGAGCGTCTTCCACGGCCTCGGTGATCAGAAAAAAGGCGGCTTGCAACTTCGACTGCCGCTCACAATGCCTCATTCAATATTCTGGTCACAACCTGCAAACATTCGCGCTTCATGCTTCCACGACTCAGGCAGCCACTGCAGCCTAGACCAGGTCGGTGCTGTCAAAGCCTTACCGTCACTGCACATGTGCAACCAGAAAGGAAAAAGAGATCAGAGAGCGAAGGAAGAAGAGATGCGCCGTCGCGGCGCATTTGAGAGATAATAGATTGAGAGATAATAGAGAGCCGTCGCGGGGCGGCACATTAGTGCCTAGAGTTCTGCACCCTCGCGGTGCACTAGCTACTGACACTGCGCCGTCGCGGCACATGCTCTGTCGTCCTCTTCTCTGCGCCATCGCGGCGCATCTTGTCTGTTTCTGCACCATCGCGGCACATTTTCTCTGAACGTATCTGCGCCCTCGCAGCGTCGTCGTCGTCGTCTTGCGCCATCGCGGCACATTTTCTTTGGCGCCTTCGCGGCACCGTCTGATCTCCTTCGCCTTGTCGCCGAGCTTGCCTGCAGGGCCCTGAAAGGTACGCGGGGTATTTAGGAGTTTAGGCTTAGGGTTATTTTAGGCTTAGGGTTTAGGGCTTTGGGGATTGGGGCTTTTGGATTGTGGTGTCTGAAAGGGGGGTAGGAGAAGGTAGGAATCTATCTGTTGTTCCAGCCTTGGGTGAGATGACCTAGAAGCTATTGTTCCTACCTTCATGAAGCAATGGGCCTACATCTCGAACCTGGCAAATTTCAAAGAAGCCTATTATTATACGAGCCAAGAATTAAAATAGGGCCTTGAAAACCACGAAACCACATGGCATGTGTGCACGTGTCGTGGCTGCAGAAACACATTTGAAACAAAGAACAACTTGAAATGCATTAATTCTGTTTTCTGTGACATTTGATGTGGTCCCACGAATTTACGAACCTAATTTCGATAACCTGAAATATTTGAAACTAGTGCTCGACATGTGGTTGCCTGCATTCGAGAAATCGAAATAGGCATTTATGTTTTTTGAAACATACACAGTATTTTAGAAAAATGGTTTCCAACTATTTCTATCTTTTGTAGTATGGGCTACAACTCAGGTTGTCTGTGATTTTTCGCTGATACATAAGCTTCATTCATGACCCCCCAGCTGTGAGTGTTCAGTCAAAGCAAGGCCCCGCCCAAGATTTTTGTTACACCTTTTTCCAGCCGTCGAAGGCCGAAACACAGCAGGATTTAAAAAAAATCCTTTAACAAGAGGCAAGTAGTGTAATTTAAGTCTTGTGGTTTTTTCGTGCCTCGAGCGTTTTCGGATCTGAAGCGTTTGGAGTCTTTGGCCTTCGCGCGGATCGGGCTTCCGTCTTGGGATTCAGGCTTGGGGATGCGGCCGCCTTGACACTGACATTCTCGGGAACGTTGGAGGTGCCTCGCTACTGCGCGGCCACGCTGGACACTAAGTTGAGAGCGTTACTGCTGTGCCACGGTTCTGGGCTGTTTTGAAGAGCGTTACAGCTAATGCAACTTTGCCTTGTGTGCCCTGGGCCATAGTGAAGCCGGCTCAAAGAAGCTGCCAGCTGCGCACCGATGTCTTGGACGATGCATGCTTTTCCGTCAGTGTTTAGGGCCCAGGGCCAGGAATCGTGCGCCAGGGATCGTGATGGCAACTTGATCTCCGCTTCCGAGTTCTGCAATTTCGCCCTGCTGCTCTGACTCGCCCCAGGTTGACGCAACGGCAAGCAGTGGACATGGAAGCGTCGCTTGGGTTTGTGCAATATTTTGCGTGATGTGGAAGGAACTTCCAGGTTGCTCCAGGGCCGAGGATGTCGGTAGCGATGCCGAGCGCGACATGCATAGCTGTTGAGGATGTTTGGACAGCTCTGCGGGTATTGTTTGAACTGCATGTGCATGAAGACCTGAGCCCCAACACAAGAACGGAGAATCCACTGACGGTGCCAGCATGGTCCGCAACCAGGCCCAACTCGACAGCGCTGTGGCACAACGCGCTGAGAGTCGCCCGACTTTCGTGCGCTTCAGCAGCCTAGCCGCCTCGGGGGCGCGCAGGGCCCAAACCATCTCAGGCCCGGACCGGGACACTCAATACATGCTCCAAAGCTCCTGTATAGGTTGTTGCACCTTGCGCCCTAAACCTCGCGTCTCTGAAGCTTTGTGTCATGTCTTGGCAGGCTTGGGAACGGGGGAACGCATCGGCTGCACGCTATAGTGGTCGCCTCAGGGCAACACTTCACGGGACTGGAGCCTAGAAGTGCGCCGAGAGCAGCTTGCGAGTATTGATGTAGGATCCAGCCGTCGGGCTTCAACAGTTTCTTAGTCTTTCTTGCTATAGCATCGAATGGTCCGAGTCGAGTCGGCAAATAGGGCATCCTGTTTGTTTGTACAGTCTGTACAGTCCTCTTCAGACCGAGTCATGCCAGCGCATCCCGAAACCGTCGAGGAGTGGTGTCACCTGGTTCCTCATTTGCTTTCCCCAGCAGGCTGGAACAGCATCGCCGAAGCGCAGTCGGCCAGCGTCTCCCATTGCACCTGTCCTTGGGGTGGAAGTTTGGTGAAGCTTGCGGTGCCGGACGTTGAGGTGGAAAACGCCCCGGCAGACCAGTCGTGCGTCTTCGTCCGCCCGGAGTCCCGAGCATGGGGGGCGAGTACCTTCGCCAAAACGAGCCCCGAGTACTTCGCCGTGCGGGAGCAGCTTGCGCTTGTGGCGTTCTTTGGTATGTTTTCTTGTTCGTTGCAAGGCCAATGCCAGATATGAGAGCAGTTCCTCACAACAAAGGCACCAGGAGATGCCATCGTCTGCCGTTGGGCATCCTTGAAAGTGCTGCGCCTCTTTGCAGTGCTCTTCGGTGAGATGGGGACAGAGTTTCTGCAGGCCCATTTTTACAACCCGGCTGAAGCTGCAGAGCTTCGCATGTGCACTCAGCGCAACTATCCGCAAGCTGGCGACTGTTCTTCGACACAGGGCCTTGGACTGGCAAAACCCTTTGTCGTTTAAATGTTTAAACTTTAAACGTTGGGTTCTTAACATTCCATGCGGGCTGGGGCCTCCATTTCACAGGGGGCCTGCTGATCGGTTGGCCGGTTACGTGGCGCTTGAGTTAGTATTTGGGGGGCTTGTTCGTATTATGGGAGCTTCATGCTTGAATTGAGCGGTGGTTCTCCCCGCCTGGATGGGCAGGGGCTGTGTGATCAACTACCAGGAGCTCCACTCACAAGACTTACACATCAAGGGCAGCTTTCATCCGAAGAACCAATGCAAGGGACCGTGACTCCAGAGCTCTGAAGCACTGTCGCTACTGCGGCGTGTGTTTGGGGCTGGGCTTCGGGTCTGTTAAGCGCTTGAATTTGCCAACCGAAGCAATCGCAGCATCCCTGCAGCAGCCGCTGCTCTCAGTCGCGGTCGCCTCAGCACTGAAGCGCTCTGCCACTGCTCTGCCGCTCAGGACCCTCACCAGCCTGTCGGAGCCCTTCGAAGCCATCAACTTCTGCCGCCCTGCCGGGGTGCCGGGGATGTTCAACTTGTACCACATCTTCCGGGTGCCTAAGGTGATCAAGCTTACGAACTGGGCTACTGCCCAACTGCATCGGACCATCGAATCAGGCAGGAAAGTTGCGCAGTATTACCTCAACCGGCCGGGGATATGCGAGATACGTGCCTTCGATCAGCAATACTACGTTGTTCTCACCATCCAAAGCTTCAAGCGCGGAAATCCAATGATTCCAGTGTACACAGATGAAGATGGCAAAGATGACAGTGAAGATGTCACGAGAATCGATGCCGGCAAGAGCATGGGATTGACAACGTGGGCCCGATACGATCCTGCGGAAGTTGGCAGTGATCGCTTCCTGCTGTCCGGCTACATGAAAGCCTTCGCGAATCGCCTCGGCGAAAGCTTGAACTTCTACCAATCCCTGGATGGACAAGAGCTGCTCTACTTCCAGTGTGTGGTGTCTCGGGAAGAATGGTCCCGTGTCCAGGAACGCTTGAAGGATGCATACTTGCTCCAAAAGACTGCGTACCGACGTGCCAACGGTGGAGCACAGGCACCGGGACTGAACGAAGGGAGCAAGCCACGCTTCTGCAAGGATGTCAGCCTCGACTCTCTGGAAGAGCCTCGACTGCTAAGCCTTTTTGTTGTCGACTGCAATTCGAGCAGCCTCTAGTTGCCAACCTCTCTCTTTCCATTGTCAGACAGAACATCAACGGACAACAGTGCCGAAAAAGGCAGTTTCAGAAAGAAGCGGTATTCACATCTAGCTAGCTGGCTTGCCGGCTGCTGCGTGTCTTGCCGTCTTGGCTGTCATGATATTGCTGGCATGACGATTGAGCCGAGAAGATATGGAAGTGACCGAAAGCTCACACTGTGGATGTTTTTTGTGTGCAACACATGTGCAAAAGCCTAAGACCGTCTAGGCCCATGTTTCCCGGCAACGCACCAGACAACGAACCCGAAGCATGCCGAAGCGTTGCGTAGCTTTGCGCTTGTTTGCCGGGATCGTGTATGAGTCTTGCGAGGCGTATAAGACACAACCCTATATATGCCAAACGGCATTCCGGAAGCCAGCAAGGAGTAGCGTTGTCAGCAAGATCATAAGACCATCGGGCTGCAAGATGCAAGTATTCGTAGCTTCGTCACAAACGAAGGAGCGAATCAAGGCGGATGAAGCGGCTCAGCACCAGCAGAAAGTACAGGTGCTCAAGACCTTTATTGAGAGGGAAGACAGCGAGGAAGAGCTTTTCGAAGTTCGATGCAGAAGCAGCAGACGCTGCAGGACCGAGACACTTGCAGCTCGCTGTGTTTGCGTGGCCTGAGGCTTCCAGGAGCTCTGGCTGTATAGATGTGCAAGAATCTGAGCCAGTTTGGGCTAAACCTCTTGCACCGTAGATGACGCCTTCGCTCTTATTTGGGCCAGGTGGCGCGCCGTTCCGAGATAGAAGTTGTTTTGCGCTAGCTTAGGATTGAAGCACGTTTTTCGCATTGCTACTGCACCCTTGATGTGGCAGCATTCTCTAGCCAGAATTCGTGGGGACCCTTTCTCCCTCCTCTGTCCATTGCACGGGCAGGACATGTGGAGGCACGCAGGTAACTCTCCTACTTCCTACAACTTGCCGCTAGGTTGAGCGGCCCTGCTGCCATCGAAACTACTACAGGCAGACCCGCGCAGATGTCGCCAGCAAAAAGCAATCAGTGCCTTTGTGGCTAGATAGCCAAGCATTTGTGGCCTGTGTCAGCTCCATCTGAGGCCGAGTCCACGGACGGCACTTGCCGACTTCCGTGCGCTTCAGCGGATTTCAGCGGCCTGTGTTTGGGCACCAGCCATGACGTGACGCCAAGATTTGCTTTCTACATGGCTGCAAGGGTAGCTTCTTGGAATCTGAGTCGCCATCCATAGATTCAAATATCTTTACTTAGGCAGAATGCATGTGCGAAAGTTGTGTATCGAATAATACAAGTTACGAGTACCCAAGCCCAAACTCAACGGACGGGGAGCAGGAGACAGCCTGCTTCCATGCATACTTGGCGGCTGCTAGGCAATCGCTTGCGGATGCCATGATTCTTTTGCGGCTCAGAAGGGTCAACGACAAATTCATGTTTTAGTTCCATCGGAATCTAGAGCCGTACTCCATGACCTCGGTCGCCTCATAGGCGGAGTCCAAGACTCGTACTACAACCAAACGAGGTGCGGGAATTGTCGACAAGCGGCCGTTTGGCCTTTGGGCACTGGGGTGGGGAGCCTTAGTTGCCCTGGGGTGGCTGCGGACGGACCGACGCCCTGTTGTACTTCTACGATAAGCAGATCGATCGCTTCAACGATGTCCTTCAGCCACACCGTGGTTTGCTTTGTGGGGGAAGCACAATGCCGACTCTGAAAAAGAAGAGCGCAGCTTTAAGACATCAAGCTGTCTCACGAAGGGGGTTGGGTGCTAGCCGAGCCGTAGCGTAAAATATGAATGGGATGCCTGTGAGGGCTGAACTCATCTCTAGTTGCTTTCTTGCTCTGGACAGAGACTAGGGTGCAAGGTTGGGTAGTGTAGCTGGGGATTCCGCAGGCATGAATTTGATGATGCTTTTGTTCACATTGATGCCATATCAGTCATCAAGACAGGCAGGTACACAGGTCCCAGCCACGCAGAACACCCTAATTTTCCTGGTTGCAGAGTGGGAGAACCGGAGCTTGAGCCAGCTGTCTCGTTTCCCACTCTTCGTGCGTGCACAGCCGTTTGATGCTGGCATCTGCTAATTTAATCTGGCGATATAGAACTTTCATCAACTAGATTCTAGAGTCACTAGATGGTCATCAGCACATTCTCAGCGCAAGTGCCGGGGCACTTGTAGTGAAATGTAGTGCTAGGAACGGCAAGATAACGGCACAGCAGAGTCCCGAAATCAAAAGGTGGACAGTGGCAAGAAATGCCAGCTGCCGCGAGGCGTACACGTTCCAAAATCCGAAACCTTCAGCCCTTCATGCAGTCTCGTGGTCATCCCAAAAGTCCTACTGTATGCTGTGTGAATGCCAATGGCGGCAATGGTCGCGGCCCAGGCCCCAACGAGGCCTTTCCAGAGAGGCTTTATCGAATGAGAGCAAAAATCAATCTGCCACCGGAGTTGAGTTCAAGCCTAGATGATGTTGTGAGTGTCGCAGTTGAAGGCCTCGCCGCTGCCGCTGCAGCATTAGGGACTCTCGTGGTCGCCTCAGTGCAATCCGAACACAGGCGATGGGAAGAAACTCAACGGCACCGGAGACGGCTGTGAGAGTCTCAGAAAGGACAAGGTGACAGCCAACTTGCGACCCTTGATCGCCGGCACGAAGTTATCCAACTTTAGCTGCAGGTTGCGGCTGCGCCCCTGCGTGGGAGCTGCGCCGCCGCGACCGGGACCGGAAATGGAGGGAAGGGGCCGGGAGGGGGAGGTTTGAGGGGATGGCTGCAGGGTTCGGTGCTTGGCTTCACCCCTAGCGCGAGCACGTCCCAAGATGCCTTGCCCAAAAGAACTTTTGATTTTGCCCGGTATTGCTGTCTTCTGTTATCGGGATTCCTGTTCTGGTGAGATGATGGGCTTCACAGACTTGAGTAGTTGTCAAGATTATGGCCCCGTTTTGGGTACCCTAAATATTAGGTGCCGTACTATATTAGGGACCCAAAAAGGGACCATAATTTTTGACAACCACCCGCTTGTCTAGGGTGCAGTTGGCACTCGCTACCACGGTTTCCGGCTCTGAGGCGAACTTTCCATGGTCGCAGTGTGGGGCTGAGATGTTTCGGTGACAGCATGAGTCGTCACTGTTATACGTTTACCTACCTACTCTCGTAAGATCAAGAAAGGCTTTCCGCGCTCTTCGTTTCTTTGCACATCTCTGTGGCCTTCAGTGCTCACAAACCGTCTGCATCCCAACCGGAGGCCCCGTGCTGTGTATGGGCACCGCTTCAAGCTGCCCCAGAAGCTGCCGCAGGGGCTGAGGCAAGACCCACTGTGTGTGGAAAACTTAAGCGAAAGTGCTAGCATGTGTGGCCGCCTGGCCGAAGCTGATGCATGGGGTCGGGGGGATCTCAAGTCGATTCCTGGAGGTATTGCACGGAGTTCATCAGCGAGGCAGAGGAGCGGGAACTCGACCGGGTGCTTTCAAGCGGCCCATGGTTGCCTGGCGCTTCTCTCGGCTTAAGGCGCTTTTTCGGTCGCAGGGGAAGGTCCGTGAAGCTTATATAAGATGTGCCCGACCATGCCCGGAACCATTGCCAAAACTAACGCTGAACTTTCAAGGTTGAGGCACATCAAGAGCCGCGCCCAACAATTCTTTGGGCTGGTCTACTACCAGCTGCTCGTCCAGAATTGATGGCTTTCGCTCGATTTTTCCGTGCTCTTTTCGACCGATTTCGTTCTTCCTCTTCTTGTTGTTCTTGTGGTTGTTGCTGTGCCTGTGGCTGCTGCAACTGCTGAGCCAACGCCGCCGCTGCTGCTGCTCTTGTCGGTGTCGTTGTCGCGTTGTTGTCGTTGTTGTCGTCCTTGACCTTGTCGTCGTCGTCGTCGTCGTTGCGGTTGCGGTTGTGATGGTGGTGGTGGTGGTGGTGGTGGTTGTGGTTGTGGTTGTGGTAGCCGCTACGGATCACAGCAGGCTGTGTAGCTTTGCTAACAAGGCTCTGGGTACCAACGCTAGAGGCTCGCAACGTCCCCCTTCTGCGAAGCTTAAGGGACTGTCCTCTTTCTGAGCCATAGCTATTCCCGGAGCCGCGTGCCGCTGTGATCTGCCGGGTCCCAATTCCCGGGCCTCTGTCTGCAGTTATACAACCTTGGCATGAGGTAAGCGGTAGTGGTTTTCACCTTTCCGCAGGGTGAAGGGAGTCGGATTGAGTTCTCTCTTTCCGGCGAAACTAGCGGACGGCGCAATCGCCAATGCACCAGCATTCTTTTGAGAGCATTCGCAAGAAGGCCTTTCGCAAGGCTTGCAATAAGGTACATAGAACACAAGACAGCATCCCGTACCGGAATGGTACGTTGACGCCCGAACATTTGCGCCGCAGTGGACTCACCCCGCCCTCCCCTCCTCCCCTCCCCGTGCTGTCTGGCTCCACGATTTCTCCTTCAGGTCCCTCCGCCAGTTTCCGCTCGCGCCCGAGAGGCGGTCGTGCCAGCAAGTCTCTTCGTGTTCTCTCTGGAACGCTGGGCACCTTGGCATGCAACAATGGGCAGAAGTGAAGACGTGGCTTCGCACGGAGGCCAAGTATGTCTGCGACATTCTGGTCTTGCAGGAAACTCACTGGAGTGAAACAGCAGAGTTTGATGTTGAGGGTTGGCACTGCGTGAGCTCCGCCACAAAAGGGGCTGCCCGGGCACCCAAAGCTAAAACTGCTCCCGGGCAACGCTCCAAGCAAGGCGCTGCCACGCAGCCAGCTGTTCATGACACAAGTCGAGCGGACGGTGTCATGGTTCTCCTTTCTCCTCAGATAAACAAGAAACGGATTCGGTGGCGAGAGCAACGCCGCGGCAGGCTCATTCAGGTCATTTTCCCGTGGCTTGGGGCCCGCGTGCATGTCTTTGCGGTCTATCAACATGCGTGGTCTTCTAAGAAGTCTCCTCAGCAGAACAAGGAAGACCGCTCACACTTGCTCCGCGATCTGTCAGCAGCGATCCGGGCAATCCCGGCGAGGGATACCTTTCTCTTGGCAGGCGATTTTAACGCTCGTTTGACTCCGCAGGAGGGTCTGGTGGGCCAGTGTAGCACAAGGAAGGAGCATGCTCAAATGCAGGATGAGCCGTTCCAGGCTTTGGTTTCCTCCCATCGGTTGGTAGCTCTTAACACTTGGTCCTGTGGCGCTGGTCACACCTTCTTCTTGAATGGACGGGGCTCGCAAATTGACTTTTTGCTAACCTCCGAGGCTTCGGCCAAGTCCGGCAAAACAGTCTGGGCCATGCAAGGATCTTCAGCTCGGCAGGTGGAAGCGAGGCGGCCACCTTCCCGTCTTGGCTCATCTCCGACCCACTCAGCACTGGAATTTGCCTAAGCCCACTTGCCCCCCCTGACCTTCCATAAGGAAGCTCTAGAGACGGCTGTCCGTTCAGGTCTGCCGATAGCCGGCCGCATGCAGGACTGGGTGGGCCAGCGTCTGTCCTCTCGGAATCACACGCCTGATGAAGTCAATCAGGTGCTGCTGGAGGCCTCTGCTTTGTTCTTTCCCAAGCCTCGGCCACAGCAAGCTCCGGAAACTGCTCAGCATCGTGCGACGTTGCGCATGTGGAACAGAGTCGCTCACATCCGCGCCTTGCATGAGGACTCCATCACCACTTTATCCGACCTGGATCAGTCTTTGGAGGACCTGAGTCGCTGGCATAAGCAGGCTCTCTACCTAGCCAAGAAGGAACGTTGCCGAGCTTTTCAGGCAGAGGTGGATGAGGCGTGTGCCAGACACGATTCGTACATCGCGCATAAGACCCTAAAGAAGCTCCGACCATGGGAGCCGCAAATCAAGGCCCAGCTTCAGGGACCGGATGGCCTGCTTTTGGATTCTCACTCTGAGCTTCGTTTGCTTCGCGAACACGTGGAACAGGTGGGATCGCTACCGGAAATCCCGGCTGGTCTGCTGGCCAAGCACATCGGCTCCATTAGACCGCGCAAGGCGGCCCGCAGGGTTCGGCTCCGGCGGCTGCCTGGCGGCTGTGCTCGGTAGATGCGGGAGCGGCGCTAGCAGCAACGCTGCAATCTCGGAGGCAACGCCCATTGCCGGCTGCTGAGGTTCTCCAGCCGCCTCTAAAGGATGCTGACTTGTGTTTTATTCCCAAGCCTAACAAGCCGGCTACGAAGCCTGGCAACCTTCGTCCACTCGGCGTCATTCGGCCGGATGGCAAAGGCTTGGCGGGGGCTTGTAGAGACCAGCTGTCTCCCTACTATCTCCGGGGTCTCCCACAATTTGCCTACCAACCCCAACGTGGTCTTTCCGATGCCTTGAGCAGGGTCGTTGGCCATGTCACTCAGGTACGAACTGCCAGGAGGCCCGACGTACCCGGCATCAGCTTCACTCGGGGCGAACTCGCCCCCAGCTCATAAGTGGTATCTGTTTTGCCCTGGACTTGTCACAGGCCTTTGACATGGTGAGCAGGACAGACCTGCTCAACACTCTGCGGGATGCGGGAGTCCCTCAGGACCTCATGGACCTAGTCGCCTCATTACATGCTGGTAGTGCTTACACCTTTCGCACGCAGGGTGAAGAGGACACAGTCCAATCCACAGCTGGCATTAAACAGGGTTGTAAGCTTGCCCCTATACTCTTTTCTCCATGCTTACGGGCACCATCCTTCGGGAGCTCATAGCTCTTGTCGGTGCTCGTGCTGTGGTGGATTACCTCACAGGCTACGCGGATGATCTGACGGTTCACCGCGAAATCCACTCATTGGAGGACCTGGGCCGCGCTCATGCTCTGGTTGAGCAGCTATTGCAGTTGGTCCGCAGTCATGGATTTGCTGTCAATGGTGCCAAATGCACCGTCATGATAAAGCTCGAGGGCCAACAGGCGCCACGCGCCATATCCAAGCACACGTATTGGCGCACCGCGCCTGACGGTACTCGCCACAAGATGTGGCGGCTGGGAGCGTCCAAGTCTCACGAAGGCTTCCCGATGGTGACGACCTTTAAGTATCTCGGAGTCATGCTCTCTTACTCTAACTTTGAGAAGGCTACTCTCAAGTTTCGGTTGCAGGAGGGCAATGCCAAATTGCAGCAGGTACGTCGCTTCGTTCACAACAGACGCACGGCAGGGCCGGCATCGCGGTTGCATATTTGGCATAGTACTGTCTGGGCCACCGGTGGCCTCTGGGTTGGTGGATGTGGGCTTGACTTTGGAGACAGCCAAACTCTTGCGGGCTTGGCACGCTCGAAAAATCCGAGCTGTACTGAACAAGCCAGTGCACCTTACACACATATCGACCACTGACCTCTATGCCCCCCACGAGATCATGGATCCTGTTTGTAAGCTGCAGGCGAGACAAGCCAATCGTGTCAAGCGCCTAGGTCTTCGCCAGCAGACAACCCCTGCAGGTGATGTCTCTCTGACACAGCAGGCGCTTCATCAAGCAGAGGCGCTCTCTGCCAGGTGCGCAGACGTTCTGCAACAACTCTCCGAGGACACAGCGCAGCAGGAGGCCCCTCCCTCTTTCGCATGTCCGACGTGTGCTCAGGCCTTCGACACTGAGGTTGGTCTTCGCACCCACCAGGCCCGCAAGCATCCAGGCTCGGTTTTTAGATATGTCCCTCGAGGTTTTTCCCACACTCTCTCCGTAGGAGGGCTCCCCAAGTGTGCAGCCTGCAACAGGCAATTCCCTCAAATGAAGGGCTTAAAAGATCACCTGCTATCTGGCGCCTGTTCGGAGCCAGCTAGGTTAAAGGAGCTGGATGACGCGGCGCACCCTCCCTCAGACTCGCAGCTGATGCCCCGGTTGCATCCCAGGCAGCAGCGCTTGCATGACACCTTGACTACACACACAGCTGTTGAACTAGGAAGGTTGGATGAGTCTCAGGACCTTATGACTTATGTCTTATTGCTTGCTGTGTGGGTTCTGGACTCCAGACAACACCAAACTCAAATCCCACATCAGGCAGGCCCACAAGCCCGAATGGGCGGCTCATGGGGCAGCTGCCACAGCACAGAGCAGCAAATCAGGTCATGTCCTTGTCAAGGGCATGCCCTGTCCGTGCTGTCGCAAGCAGGTTACGGACAGGAGGCAGCATCCGGCACAGTGTCCGATACTGTTTCAGATTCTGTTCTATGACTTGGCTAATGATCGCTCCCAAACAGGACGGCAATACCGCTGTCGGAGCAACGCCCCTGACTCGCCAGGCAACGCCTGCAGGCCCCTTGCCGCCGAATCCAGAGGCAGAAGGATCAAGGGACGGAGCACTCGCTGCTCCCCGCTCGTTGCGCAATATCTCTAACTACTGCTATGTCAACTCTACGCTTTCGGCATTGGTGCCGACGCGCATCTTGCTTGAGCACGGAAGAGCCAGCACCTCCCTCCACCACGAAGTGGCTGACTCCGCCTCTGGTTCCCCTTTTACCCTGACTGCCTCTTTCACACTTCGTCATCACACTCCCACCTGGCGCTATGATCAACAGCAAGATGCTTCGGAGTTCCTGGTAGCCTTGTTCGCTGGAATTACTGGGTTTCCAATCGCAAGACCCTGGGAAGTCAGGGATGGGCGCACTACTGAAGTAACGGATGAGGGTGGTCCGCTCGCCCTGCTGCCGGCTCCGACTGCAGCTGGCTCTCACGAACTCCAGGAGCTAGTCTCTCGGTGGTCCGGTCAGCCAGTGTACGCGGCAGCAACGGCTGGTGGTTCTCTCGGTGGCACGATTCGTTGAAGGTCGCAAGCTCAGTTATGCCGTAACAGGTCTACATCGCCCTGTTCAGCTCCCGCAGTGGGCCCCGACGGGCTCCGTTCAACTAGAGCACGGATGGGTCCAGTCCTGTGTCTTTCAATAGGAGACACTCCGCACAGTGGACACTATCGCTCCCTTTGGAGGAGCAACCCCGATCAACCTTGGTTCAGCACGGACGATGGTCGTCCGTCGGTTCCGGCCTCCGATTCCGATCTCAGGCAAGCACGCCACGGCTGTTATGTGCTGTTAGTGCGACTTGGTTCATTACCGCGCACAGCGGAGGCTGGCTCTATGCCAGTCCATGTTTCTGATGATTAAGCTGAGGGTTCCCCTGCGGCCAGGGGCCCCTACTTCCTTTTACAGGGAGGGGGCGACCCACTGGCTCCGTGGAACCGACCTGCCTGCACGGCAGGGAGCAGGAACGCTGTCACCAGTTTTGCTGCTCAAGTTGTACGGCTGACGTAGCTCTTCTACTCAACGTTTGTGTGCAATGGCCGCCTATACCTGTCATGCTAGTCGGGCAACGCTCGCTGCTTTTCCAGAAAGGCAACGCCTGTCAGCAACACAGCTGACCAATGGCTGAAATCGGCCTTATTAGGCACAGTGTGCTAACCGCCAGGGTGTGCCACATCGTTCACCGATGCAATCTGCTTGCCCACAAAAGCGGAGCTACCTCAGATAACAGCACTAGCAGCCGTTCCACGTGCTCATCACCTTTGCGACCTTACGGCCCATCGCCTCTGATTGAGAGTGACCATGAGTGGGACGCCACGCAACAGGCACTCTGAGTGACGGTCCCGCGGGGTACGGCTCATCAATCATTGGTTCGTGGACATGGGACGCCATAGTCCACACTGAGGGTGTCGGAGGGTTTCTCACCCACGCCTGAGTAATATGAGCTGGCCTCTGATGTAGCTTGTAGGATAGCTCTCTCCTTACGTTAGCCTGTTCTCAGTGCTCTCAGGCCCAGGCCCTTTGCATTTCTGCTCTCAGACCTTTGCTCAGGTGCAAAGGCAGTCTCACACGCCCGCAATGAGCAGAGCCCGCTCGCTCAGCGTCCAATAAATTGTGGTTGTGGTTGTGGTTGTGGTTGGTTGTGGTTGTGGTTGTTGTTGTTGTCGTTGTTGTTGTTGCGGTTGTGGTTTTGTTGCTGTTGCTGCTGCTCCTGCTGCTGCTGCTGCTGCTGCTGCTGCTGCTGCTGCTGGTGTCGGTGTGGTGGTGGTGGTGGTGCTGCTGCTGCTGTGCTGCTGGCGGCGGCGGTGGTTGTCGTAGTCGTTGTCGTCGCGTCGTCGTCGTCGTCGTCGTTGTTGTTGCTGTTCTTGTTGTTGTTGTTGTTGTTGTTGTTGTTGTTCTTGTTGTTGTTGTGGCGGTTGTTGTTGTTGTTGTTGTTGTTGTTGTTGTTGTTGTTGTTGTTGTTGTGGCCGTTGTGCTGTTGTTGTTGCTGCTGTTTGCTTTCGTTGTTGCTGGTCGTTGTCGATGTGGCTGCTGCTGCTGCTGCTGCCGCTGCTGTTGCTTTACTGTGGTTGTTGCGGTTGCTGTGACGCTATCTGATAAGTGTGCCAAGGACTTCCATTATTTATGTTGCTTGTTACCTTGCCGGGCAGTTTGTTTAACCATCGACCATATTTAAAACAGTCGAACGTCTACATTTTTCGGCTTCAGATGGCTTCGGCTTGTCAAAGCTCTGCTGCTAGCTTCAGGGCGTTAACCGAAAGGATTCGGCTTTTGGCAGGGATCCGACGGTTAGAGATTGAACAGGCCGCACGGAAGCCCCTGTTCTCCTCGAGACAATTGTCCGAGTTGCATCGTCCTTACATTGCCTTGAATGCCTTTTCCGGATGGTGCCACCTCCAACGAATCTTGGAATGTTCCCGTCCCTCCAATCAGATTCCCTGAAGCCCTGCGGCTTTGCAGTCCTGCGCCAGGACGTGCCCTTACACTCGAGACGGCTTCAGGGGATTTTAGTGAAGTCACCTCACCCCCGCAATCGTTCCAAGGGTCGAGCACCTTTGTTGCGAACCGTGGGGGGTTTGGGATCAGCCAAGGACGACGCAGCAGCTCCCCGCGCTCCAGCCCTCTGAGCTTTCCGCACAGCACGAGGCGCCCTGTGCAGCGGTTCGAGTCAAGTCTATCAGGTTAGCATATTCGGAGAAAGTATCATCACGCTGATGCCATGAACTACTATCTGCTGTCAGTCATAGCAATACGTTGTATGTGATGTGTCCGTTTCACCGTTCACGTCCATCTCGGCTTCCCTTGTTAAGTTTGCTTGGCCCTGTCCAAGTGTCGTGATGGTGGCTGTTTGAGGCTCGCTCTATGGAGGACTTGCCGGAGTGGCTCATGCGCCTTGGCCTTGCACAGCCTGGCACAGCCTTGCACAACCTTGGGCCTGGGCCGCGTGGGCGACTTCCACAGCCGCTAAAAAACGCAGGCAGCGGGTGCTGGCCACTGGTGCTTTCCCGCGGAAGGGTGAAATCAACCAGGCCTGGGCAGTAGGGATCCACCCTACATGTTGTGCAAGTTCGGAAGGTTGCCGCAAACGAGTACCTGGACAGGGCAGGCGACGTGAAAGGGTCTTCCTAGCCTCAGGCCTTCAGCTTCTTCCCACCGCTGGCTTGTGCTGTTTGTGCAGGGACGGTAGATAAGGCAGCTACATGAAGCGCTGGTCTTGAAACGGAAGGGGGAGTTTTTCTGCGCCAACCCCAATGAGCTCGCGCTCGTGTACTCTCACAAACGGCAACTCGGCCGGTGAATGATGCACGAGCCATCGCACTGCTGGCCGCGTGCGGAGCAAGCACACATGGGATCCTTATCTGGCGATCTTCACCCTTGAAGGCCAACTCACTGGCGTCATATGCCAGTGATTGCCAGTGTATGACAGCAAGACGATGCAGCAAGACGATGCGCCAATGTGCTTGCTGGGGGTGGGCAGTCACTTTCCTGTGACCGCCATGCGTGCAATGAGGGGAGGCCTGAATACTACTTCTTGCAAGGTGGCTTTTGTGGTCTCCGTCTTCTGCTCGCACGTTGGATGGCTTTCACGAACACCGTCTGGAGTAAGACCCTTCAACAAGTGTTGCTGCCGTCATCCAATATCACTGCATCTGGCTCCGACGTGGATCAGATTACTTCTTCCATCTTCTTCCGCAAGTGTTGCTGATTCCGCAGCTGATCGGCATGTTTCTAGAGTCCTCGAGCTGCAGCGTCAACAACTGACACCGGACACGGACACTTGGGTACCGGCAGGTATCTCCTCCCATGTGGAAGAGCCCACTGCTTTTGGCCGCAACCTGGGCACGCTCTCGAACCGTGGCTGCAAGAGTTAGCGCTTTCATGTCGGCTTCATCGCTCATGTCTGACATCATGTCAGGGATTGGCTTGCCAAGGATGCTGTCACCGGTGCAGATGACGCTGACTCCTGCAGAGGAGGTGCAGCCAGCAGTGGGAGCAGGAATGAGCAGGATTGGTGTCCAAATCAAATGTGGTGAAATTGGTGCCTAGTTCAACAGCCTCGAGTTTCAGCGGAAGTTGGTTGCCAGTGTGAGCTAGCTTGGGCGTTCGTTCCGGCTCGTCAGCTCGCTACAGATACAGTAGGAATTGGCACAAGCGTCAAGATGTGAGAGAATGATGCCCGCGGGGAGGATCTGCACGGACGGGACGGCTTGGATCATGGGAACTGGGCCGCACGGCTTTCAGTTGGCAGGATTTCGGTGGCCGATGGTTCGCTTCGATGTCGCTTTATGCCCGCCTTCATACAGGAACGAACGCAGCTCATGCATCGTTATGAGCCTACGGTGAAAGAAGCAGATGACGATGAGCATGTCCAATGTACAGCCTTTTGAGAGAAAAACCCTAACGCGGCCCTATGGCCCTAACGGCGCCAACTTCAGCTTTGTTGCTGCCAAGCTGCCCTCCTCTCGCGACCTCGCCCTCTGAGGTGAAGATCCTTCTCGAGCCGAGAAGCTTCCTCCTGCTCCAAGGCCGCACAGTGCCGCTCTCTCTCTCTCTCTCTCTCTCTCTCTCTCTCGCTCTCTCTCTCTCTCTCTCTCTCTCTCGGATGGATGAAGTGTTTGGGTGTGATGCGTGCCTTCTCTCGTGGCTTGCGCCAGCAAAGGTGACGCTGTCTCGCTACACCGAACGAGTCAAGTGAGTGTCGTGTGTGTGTGTGTGTGTGTTTGATGGCCAGGTTGGGCAGGTCTTTGTTGCAACGGAATCAATCGAGATGGCTCCACATTTCCTTATGTTCCAATGGGTCACATGTGTGACATGAGCCTTTACTGTCTACTGCAAGTCCAAGTCCTGTGGCACTGTGTATTTGGGGAGATTCCGTTGCTGAGTAACAAGCTGGAGTGACTGTTTGATCCACAGGCAAAGTCACGGAAGAAATCGTGGGGTTGAGACTGCCAGTTGTTGCCCGGAGCGCTGCGTGGCAGGCGAAAGCCGTTACGAATATCGTCATGGCATTCGTCGCTCAAAGCTCGCGCGGGGCTTGTCATTGGGGCTTGTGGCGGTCTGTGACCTCATGCTCAACCAACAATTGGACGCACTCGACCTCTTCGCTTGTGACTCGTGACTCTTGTGCCTATAGAAGGCGAATACAGCCCCTTGGTGGAAGACTCTTGGGGTCCAGCCCGTCTGATTCGTCAGAATACATCAATCAAGGGGTTAGGGGATGTCGACCATTTGAGTGACAGACTCCTTCACGGAGTCTCGCCCTTTTGGATAGTTTGCGTTCCTGCAAGGTTCAACTGGGCGATGGCCAAATCCTGCGAAGAGAAGCAGGCGGGCGAGTGTATAGCCAGGCCTTCCAATTTCCCAACCTTTGCCTTATGGTGCTTTGCAGTGGCCGCTACGAGGGCAGGGAGAGGCAGACACAGAAGGAAGAACTGCAGAGGTGGAAAGGCTCAGACCGTGTCCGCCTTTTCAAGCGTAGGTTATCGTCGCGTGTCCCTCACCTTTCGAGAACTACTCCAGAGCCGCAGACACTTGGCAGCAAGCCGATAGAAGGCTTCAAAACAGATCACCTGTGGTGCAGGAAGACGTTGGTTGCCAGAGAATGTTGTTTCGCGCCTACGTCCATGCTGAAACTGCAGGACAGCTGAGCGACACTGATACTGACAGCAACGAGATCGGGTGGATTTCCCGCGCGGAAGAAAACTGAAAGCGCATTGCCTCAGCAACTTCGCGAGAGTTTCATACCGAGCCGAGGTGCAACGAGCAGCAAAACACAGGAGTTTGAACCTTTGGATTCATAAGCGGTCGGTAAGTCTTGAGCAGTGTTCGAAAAATTCTAGGTCACCGCTTGACATGAGTCTTGAGCACGAGGGGTACCTGGCAGCGCTGAACTCCGAGCCAAGTCGTCAGTTTTCACCTGACCTGGAATGGTTGCATCAAAAGCAAGCAGTAAGCGTCGCATGGCTCAAGGTCTTGCATCAGCGCTATGCCCAGGGCTTTCTTGTCCTCCAGACCCAGCGAGATGCCCTCATGTTCACTAGACCTGAACCTTCGCGAGGCTTTGTAAGTTTTGCATTATCGCACCCTGCTTATGCTTCCTGAAAAGCATTGAACCCATGAAGCCAGATGCTGCCCGAAAAAGTTGCGAGCAGCAGAGGCCTCTTGTCGAGGGGTTTAGAGGAATGAAGCCCCCTGCAAGGATTCCAGTCGGCACACAGAGACTCACGCCGCATTCTGCACTTCTCATGAGCATGAGTCCATGTGAGGAAGGCGAAGCCCCAATGGCAGAGGCAAAGATTTCGTCTGTCACTCCACTCCGGAGGCAGTCGTCCTATGTGCTGCGATCCTCGCACCAGGCGACAGCTGATCTGTGCCTAACTGATTTCGGATGCAGCAAGCTGGGGTCACGTCCTGGGATATCGATCGCGCTTAGCGACTCCTTGTGTTGTCTGCTCGGTGATTGGGAGGATTATGTTGCATGAAATATCATGAAGTCTAGAAAAAGTCAACCTGATCAGGCCCTGACTTCGTTTCCAGAAAACACGCTTTCTCTCCCTCTGCAAAAGCTACCACAAACCATAGCCTTCTTACCCGGAGTTTATCTGAGCATCACCATGGTTGTCGGTGTCAAGTCCAGTGACTTTCTCAGCTACCGTACCATTAAAGGAGCTTGAATTCTACCTGCCACATCCCGAGATCTTCAGAAACTCTCAACGAGAGCAAGAAGAGGCCAGCGACGTCGGGCACCAGGATGCATTAATGGGTCCCGGCGCTCTTCTGGCGCTGAGGCCTCCGAGGACTCCATGAGCCCCACCCGGGTGCTTTCAATTCGGTTTCCAAGTGTTTTCAAGCATTAGCAGCCGGCAACGCGGACCGGCGGCCGCTTTGCTCAGCTTGAGCCGCAACTGATCGACAGCCGCCACAATTTCGCAGCACAGGACGCAAGCTGACAAGAAGAAGCCAGGCACGGCAGATTGCGGCGGATCAGTTTTTTCTTGCAACCGTTCTTGTTACATGGTGGCTTTTGTGGATTTTGTGTTCTACGTTCCGCTTGAATGCGCCCCGGCGGTGATCACGACCAGGCTTTGGATATTGAGGGCTGATGAGGGCTGAAGGTTTGGATGGAAGCCCGCTCGGAAGCCGAGCCAACAAGACATGGCCTGGCATAGTATCAGGTGCGTGGTCAGCCACAGCAGGCACAAAGTTGCCGCGACCGGAAGAGGTCGGATCGTCGGGAATTAGATTGCTGCCTCAGGGTTACTCTGAGCATTACTTCTCCTTTTGCGACCCCAGCAGCTTGCAGCTACTCCACATGTTGCTGGAACTGTGCCACAAGGTGCCGGCCTTCGTGATCCCCCGGACTGCGGAGGCAGACAGAGCACACTATCAAGCGCGGGGGCTCGCAATGTCGCATACAGTAGGTAAGCCGATGCGTATGCGTGGGAACGGCTTGCAAAACCTACAAAAGGCAGCATTTGTCAGAGCGTCCGTGCTGAGGACAGACTCCAAGTGCAGGCTGAGGCAGCTGCGCTCGCTTTGCTTCGTGGCACCCTGGGCGAGGCATGTGCGGACGGAAGACCAGTTCTTGGGATTTTCAAGCTGTCGAAGCTCCCGACAGCTCTGTGGTTTCGGAGCATCAGCCAGAGAACAAGGGAGGTTGGTAACCGCAGTGAAAACGAGTTCGTGCAGACCGAGAGACTTGGAACGAATTCGTGTGCCACCTATCTTTTCGGGCACTCCAACATTTAGATTAGAAGAACAACTAGCTCCTTGTGTATGTTGTGTATGTAGGATTAAGCTAGCTACGATGCATGCATGTGAGGGGATATCGAAGAATCAGACGGGGCGTGGAGGTTCTGCACTTGGATACTGAGACGGTATGGACGCCAAGCTCCCAGCATTTCAACATGCCTCGAAACCTGCTTCACTTGCACTACATCCGGCGCGACGATGAAGTAAAAGCCTTCCCATCATGTATAATAGTTGTATAATGCGAGGCACGGAGCCGAGTTTTGCTTCTTCCTAAGCACTGCAGAACCCCACCCCAAAAGAATAGCTTTGGTTGACAAGGCTTCTGCACCTTGCGCAGCCTGCGAAAGCCGATGCAGAACCTCATGTCATGACGCCGCCCTTTGCCCCCCCCCCCCGCAGGCGGTAAACGGGCCGCCGGGCGTCGGTGGGCAACCGCTTCGTCAGGACTCCAGGCCTTGATGGGGGGCGGGTTTTAGCAAAAGACTGCCTGCAGTGTGATCGGAGCCTGATTCTTGAAGCCCCACATGCTCTGGCAGACTCGAATTTCTTGATTCTGCGCGCCATGAGTTGAGAAGACGTTCTCCATGCTCCTGTTCAGCTGCGGCGCCGGAATGTCGACTTTGAAGCGACTTGCAAAAGCCACGGCCGAAGGCGCCGATGTTGTCCATTTTTGCTTCTCCGTACGGAAGTAGCGACGTAGGAATCTTCTCAGGATTTGTGGGTTCAATGTTTTGCTATTGTTTTTACCGGTGGTCCGGCTTAGGCTCATGGCAGTTCGTGGTTGGTGTCGCCGTTTCCGCGTAGGATTAGCAGGAGTGGATTCCGGCACGCATTACCACTCTTCTGCCTGCAATGCAAGCGAAGCGAGCAATCAAGCCGTCAAGCAAACAGGCTAGCAGCACAGCCATGACTGCAGAAAACCTCGTTCATGAAAGAAGCCCCTTGCTGGTGTTGGCGTTCATGATGCCGCCAAGATTCCCAGAGGTGATCGGATTGTTCTGAAAGCCTACCGTGTTTGGGGCCCGGCTTCGAGGATTCTTAGATGTCCTGAGCAATGGCCTCACAGCGCAAGTCTGGCAAAGAGTCCGACAAGTTTGCGCGGTGGTTCAATGCCAAAAGGTCCGGAGGCGGCAGCAGAGGACGCGGCAAAGCAAAGGGCAACCCGTCGAGGTTCGTTTTCACAATAACTTCTTAGGGTCCTTGGAACAAACATCGAAAGCGACATGCGGCGTCCGTCCTCCATGGTGACCGAGGCAAGGGCAAAAGCAAGAATGCCTCAGCCGGCCGCTTTCCGCACGAGGGAGACAAAGCATCTCCGAGCAAAAGCGAGCTCCTTCCAAAGGCGAAGGGCAACAAGCGAAAGGCCGCGAACCTTCTGGAACAGGCGGAGGGCGTCAGTGATGGTCTGCAACTTGTCTCGTGACTCATGACTCCCAAGAATCCTAGGACAAGTTTTGTAGAAACTCGTGGCTGTGTGCACAGGCTGTGAAAATTTTAGTTCATGCGAGAGGAAATGCATTTCATCGGTTGGGTGCCATCTCAATAATATCCTAGGCGACAGAAGCTTTTGGCAACCAAGCAGCGGCTCTTGGCCGGCAACGCAGAAGCGGCTCGCGCGGGGGTCGTGCAGGCCGAGCCCGGAGCTTGGGCCGCCATGCAGGCGGAGAAGGCTGAGAAAGCCGAAGCCGAGCACGGGAACGGCAGGGGGCAAAAAGGGAGGCTCGGCTTGCACGGAAGCGCTTGCACTCAAGGCGGTGTTTCGCCTTTTCGGCTTGCCTTTTTTGAGCCACGCCGAGGAAAGCAAAGGGCAAGGGCGGAAAGGGAAAGGTAAAGGGAAAGGAGCCGGGCAAGGGCAAGGGCACCAATGTGAAAGGGAAGGGCCAGGGCCAGGCCAGCAAGAAAGTGCCCGTCGTGCGCGAGGACGGGTTTTGTAAGTTCAGGGTTTGGGATTTAGAGTGCTGGGTGGAGGATTCAGGATCTAGTTGTGGCATGCGGGTTCAGGAGTTGAGAATAGTACTGTTACTCGGGACCCTAAGTCAGTCTTTCCAAAGCACTCCACACACCTAGCGAAGGACCTGGTGCGACTGAATCGCGAGATTGCGTCCCACGCGCAGCTGCGAGATCTCCCGGCCGTCCACACAACGCTGAGAGATCTTGAGGACCCGGGCTTCGGGCTTTGGGCATTTAGAACTCGGAATTGAGGGTTCAGACTCGAGACAGCCCCAGAGTGGCCCACTTATCACGATTGCCTTCCAGCGAAGACCTTCAGTGTTTCCGTTGCTGGAGAGCGGAGAGTAGGAAAAGGGCTGGGCCAACGGCCATACCTATGCCGCTGCTGTGCATGCGCTGCTGCTCGGCCCTTCCCCTTGTGATCCTCGGTGCACGCATGCACGCATCCATGCATCCATGCATGCGAGTATGTAAGTATGTAAGTAATTCTGTAAGTAAGTACGTAAGTAAGTATGTAAGTAAGTAAGTATGTGTGTATATATATATATAATATGTATACGTATGTATGTATGTATGTATTTATGTATATATACAGCTATGTATATGTGAATGTTTGAATGTATGTGTAGTGTAGTACATGATGCAACATGATAGAATACCAATGTTATGTGACCTAGAAATACAATACAGTAAAATCTAATGCCATGTTATGTCATGCGCACTATCTTATGTTTTGTTGTATGCTTTTTTGTTGCGTTATAAATGAACAAAACATACTGTTAGTAACGATGATAATCATACATGTTTTAACATAGCAATAACAACAACCCCAACAGCTTTAACAAGAATTACATAATGAATACCAATAAAACCACTAGAATAGTAGTCTATATGCATAGTTCGTTACTTTTATAATGCATGAGTCATATGTACATGCACACAACATACTTTATGTGTTATACTCGCGTTTGCATGCGGTGCTAGAGTCTAATACGACATCAGATGGCATGACCTAAAATAGTTTCATCAGTCTAACCCGCTTTAGCTTATGGTACGACAATATGATAGCATGTAACACGATATAGCCTGATGTGGTACGAGGTTACGAAGTCTAGCTTGCCATTATGTGTGAGGATTGATCTGATCTGGTATGATTTACTTTACCATCATGCCTTTTTGTAGCATGGTATTGGGCTGAATTGTATTCTGCTGCATTCTATTATTGCATATGCGATGCTATGATCTCATATCGTATGATATCACATTATCGTATAGTTGTGGCAGAGTACACCATGTTATGCGTGGTCTGATATGATATCATGTTTTACCATACCACATCATACCGTATACTGTATACTGATGTCATCTCTTACCGTACTACATATTCTACCATATACTTTTATTGTTTCCGATCTTGCAAAGCGTTGTTTTGCTACATCGTTATCCTAGTCTTTTCTATTCTTGCCTGTTCCAGTTACTTCTACTTGGTTTTACGATATTGCGCTTTACCATGTTACTTTGTACATTGTTCTTAAGCTATCCTATGTTGTGTTATGTTTTATAGATCATATCATCCTGTTATACTCTTTTATGTATATATGTACCAACCCATTGTAATTTCGTAACTGAAGTTGTTATGCTACAAATTGTCTTATGAGACTAGATGGTGTGATAGTAGGTGATACTACATCCAGTTGGGGTTCATTCTACTCTTTTCTACTTTATTCGCTTCTACTCTAGTCCATTCTATGCTTTCATACTGTATCAGGGTTTATCAAATGTCATTTCTTCTGTCAGTAGTTCACACTGTATCATGTTAGGTTCGTATATACAGGTTTCTGTTATGATATTACATCGAATGACACCACGCCATATTACGTTCTGTTTCATTGTTTAGCATCTTCTTGCGGTAGATTTTGTAATATTGTATTGTATGGTATGTTATATACTGGTGTTATTTGCATTCTTTATCATGTTATGCAGTATGTTATCTCTTGTGATACATTTTTCATTATGTGCTGTGATATCAGGTATGGTAGTTTGATATCGATACGGTTAGAACCGTCGGCTTCGCCCAGATGCCGCTGCGGCGACTGGCAGAGCGCTGAAGCTGCGTTGGGCCGCGCCGAGGCCACAAGGTGTATAGTATATGCTTTACATTTGTAGTCTGGTGGTGGTCGTTGCGATTGTAGATCTGCAGCTTTGGAGCTCTAGACCTGGGGCCTCTAGAAGCTTCAAGCTGTCGAGGGCGTTGCTGTTTCAGATCTCGCCTTCCGGGTGTCGGAGCGTGGCTTTGCTGAAAGGCTGTCTGAGTCCAGAGTCTGGCGAAGTTTGGCGAATCTTCTGGCAATGTTGTTTGCGGCACTCTGAACAAACAACCAGGTTGGAAGAGCCCATGCCGAAAGCAAGCGCGTTGCCGTGAGGTTGTGGTCCCTGTTGTGTTTGTGAACGTGTCTGTGCGAGACAGAGAGTGACTGTGTGTGTGTGTCTCTCTCTCTCTCTATGTACACTCCCGGACGGCAAGTTAGAACCACCCGGAGCCAACACTTCGGGCGCCAGTCCTCCGCAATAAATTCCGAGCGCGAAATTAAAACCAGATTTGTCGTTTTCGCCCGGGGGCCAAGTTAGAACCACCCTCCGTACTGCAGAGTACCCCAGCTGTACCCGCCGCCTTACCGCATGGTAGCCCCGTGCAAAGACATGCTCATTAATTCAAGGCGTACCCCAAAACAAGCAGCCCGTATACCGCCGACGTACTGCCCATGCGCTGCGCCCCGCGCCGCCCCGTACTGCCGTGCCGCACACACCGGTGCTTGGCGATGTGGGCAGATGCGAGCCGGTACAGCGTTCGGGTACGGGTGGTACGCCAGTACCAACCCCCTGTACCGCTGTAAAAATTAAGCAAAATGTCAGGAAAAAGTTTCAAAAACACATCAAGCCCAGCTGTTGAAGCAGGGTGATTCTGGTTCTTCTGCTCGGGGAAAGCGGCGCCCGAGAAAGCAAAACGACGCCCGAGCAAAACTGGGGCGACAAGGGTGGTTCTACCTTGCCGTCCGGGAGAGTAGAAAAACATGTATATATATATATATATATATATATATATATACACATACATTGTCACGCGCTCCGCGGCCCCCCCCCCCCCCCTACCACTCAATGGTCCGGATATAGGGTGGGACCCCCCCTCCCCTGTGGTGTGGGGTGTGGGGTCCCTCTTCCCCCTGTGGGGTGGTTGTGGGGTGTTGGGGTTTTGGGTTTAGCCTAAGCTTTTGAGTGTTGGGTTTACGGTTACAAGGTATAACGCTTCGAGTCGAAAAGGGCTTAGGGAGGATTTGCTGTGCATGTTCTACTTTAGGCTTAGAGCCTGCAGTTAGGTGGGGTTTAGGGTTGGGTGGAGGGTTTGAAGTACAACTTAAGGTTACTCAAAACAAGGGCACGCGCTGCGTTATAGGGTTTACGGCTTGCTTGCGAAGGGCTTGCGTGTGAGCCCTGGCCGCCAGCACCATCCCACCATCCAGTGGCAGCTCCAACGGCCCCGACCCCTTTCCGCACACGCCAGCACCCCCCCCCACCCTAGCAGACCATGCCATTGGGGGGGGGGGGGGCTGGGAACGCCAGACGCCTAACCATATATATATATATATATATATATATATACATATACATACATATATTCATCTATATATCTGTATGAGTATGTATGAAATAACTATATATGTAGGCATATAGGTACATATACATATACATATATATATATATATATATACATACATACATGTTTACACACACACATATATATATATATATCTGTGTACATAACTTTATAATACTATACATAGATGGATGGTGACATATACGGTCAAACATGTGCATATACGTATACATGCATCTTCACTGTTCATATTGTTTGGGGTACAGAGTCGGTGCGACCCAGCCCATTGGCTTGCATCTAATTCAAAAGCTGGAGGGGCAAAACCAGAGTAGGGTCAGTATGCTCTAGCCGCACCTCACACTCGGCTGAGCAGAAATCTGACTCGACCTCCATGTGTGGATGCTGCTGCGCGTAACCCGGCGCCGTAGCAAAAGCCGTATCGCAAGCAGCACAGCACACACAAAACCAAAAAAAGGCAGAACGTGATCATACTAAGCTACATCGCGGGTCACTTACTAGGACCTCGGAAAGTGCAAGGTATTCCTCACGGGTATGGGCCATCCCTGCACAAGGTGCGTACCCTACATGTCAAAGCACATTGAATTTGGAAGAAGTGGTATAAGGACCTGACAGGCTACCGCACAATTCGTGCCTTGAGCCTTTTTCTCCAAGGGCCGGGGGTGTCAAGCTACAAGACAACAAACCCCACATTTCGATAAGCCACTTCCCGCTTCAACGTATGTGCCATGCACATTGACAGCTTTGTATGCAAACACATTTGCTGAGCATTCAGTCTGCATGAAAACATTATGTATGGAGATGCAGAGATTGTCATGCCGCATCACAACTCAGATGGCGCAACCGATGCAATTGCACCCATTCCCGGTGCGCTCGCTAACTTGCTCGGGAATTGCCAGCTCTGGAAGACGACGACTGATTCCGAACTCCAGACCTGCCAAGACAAAGTGCATGGGACCATGATGACGGCAGTGGAAATCTCCACCTCGGCCGTGTTAGTCAGCCCGTAGCGCTGGCCCACCAAGTCAAGCCAGTATCCTGAGGAATCGCCCCGAAAGTACGTTCAATGAGTAGGCCGGGAAGGCGTCTCAGGGAATGCTCAACCGCAAATCGAAACACGTGCCTGCCCCGCTGCTGCGGAAGCACGCATCCGCGTGGACGGCGTGGAAGTAGCGAACCGCGTTGTCGAACTCCGCACGGATGTCTCCAACCAGTCGGCTGCAACGAAGATGCAGAACTAAAGCAGAGCATGCGCGAAAATGCTTGGTTGTCCGCTGTGAGCGAGAGATGCATGCCGTGGACAGGGGCCCAGGCAATCCACCAGTGCAAGCAGAGCAGCGTCCACCAGTACATCCAAGAAAGGTTGGCGCGTTTGCCGTCGTTGGGCCACCCGCTTCCCTGATCCGTTTGAGCGAAAGCTGCAGTGTCGCAGGCAATTTTGATGGCTCGTCGTGACGGGCCCGCCATTCCTAGAGTTTCCCTGGTGAGCCGAGTTGACCGGCAATCTGAATTCTATACACATACGTACCCATATCACGAAAGCTAGCTCTGTGGAGCTCGCGGGAGTTGCCCTTTAGCAATTCACTTGTATTAAGGCACTAGGGAAAAAACAGGGTTTGCACCTTATCAGGTGGGACGTCCAAGAGTTAAGGTGGGGGGTAGGGGGGGGCCCCCCCCCTTCACCTTGTCATTATGCGTTTTCCACTGATAAGGTGCTTCCCTCCCCCCCTCCTTTAAGGTGGTTGTGCCTGGGATAAGGTGGGGGGGGAGGGGGGCCCCCCCCCCCCCGTATCATGAGGTCCCCCCCCACCCCCCCTCCTCAAGGTCCCTTGGTTTTGTTTGTGTCTGACGTTCGGCGACTGAAGTGCGGTCTTCTCTCCAGAGTTACCTCTAGTTGTCGTTCGCACATTACTTTCTCAAGAGTTAAATGAACGAGCAACGCCTGCACCCTTCACCGGCCCAAACTTTCCCTCCGCTACTGTCGTGCACATCGCTTTGCAGAGCTCAGCACCGGACCTCGTGCTTCTAGCTTTCGTGACCAGCTCTCAAGTCCATAGTTTGTTTGTGTCGCCGTGTTTGAGCGAGATTGCGGGTATACAGATCTACCCTGCTGAGCTCCCAATCTCAGAGTTCAGGAGGCAGGCCTCTTCCGACGCGGGGCGGGCGCGGCATCCGGGCTCATCACGCGCACTTCGATGCTGCGTGGCTATGTGCCGTGGCCGGAAGACTTCATGCGCGATCACACGAATCGCTCCCTCTCTCTCTCTCTCTCTCTCACACACACACACACACACACACACACACTCGCTGACACTCTCACAAATGCACATGAGTTCAAACGGCTTAGCAACGTCGGGCGAAGAAATCGTTGCCCGAAGCTTGCACATGTGAGTCATCAGGTCGAGTGCGCACGGGACCTGGGCAAAGCCCGGAGTCTGCTGGAGCGCATGGAAAAGGACAGGGATCGGTTGATCTGTTCGGGCTGCGAATGCCCTGCCTTAACATCTTCAATCCGAGTTGTATGCATTGTTTTGTGACGTCTGCGAGTTGGGTTAGAGGTTGGCTTCCGCTCTGCAGTCAAGACGTGAGAAGTAGGAGAAATGCTTGGCTGGACGGCCGAACGTCCGCACCGCCAACACCTTTCTCCGTGGCTGCTTGGTTCTGGGATCCGTGTCCGACGCAGAGGCTGCATCCCTCGAGCTCCGCGAATCGATTTCTTGCAAGCTCGCATGATGCGGCAATCCCATTATGACTTGAACCTTCATGGGGATAGCCGGCATCACTCCGGAGAGAATGCGAAATATACCTACACACATTCTGAAGGAAATTCGGAACAAGTTTGCAGGGTTTCAACTACGGCAATAGCTCTGTGTCGGCCGTGTTCCGATTCTTGTCACAAGGGTCTTCCATGCACATCTAGTTTAACGTGATTCTATACCCTCCTTCGGGTTTAGAAGCATGGGCCACAGTAGCGTCGTCTCTTGCCTAGACTCAGGAATTGGTTTGCGTGAGTACTGACAATGTGCACGATTGGACATTGGCAGGCTGTGCTTCAGCGCATGCAGACAGTCTGGGCAGCGCAGGACCATGCCCCATGCAGTGCACCTTCAAAGTGTTGTCGAATCTAAGAACGTGGGGAGCATCCACTTCAGCAAGTCAACCTCAGGATGATTGGCGTGACCAACACGGTGGCAGACCCGATGCCTCCACGTACGAGATTCTCGTGACCCTGCTTTGCCAGGCTCGTCAAAGACTATGAGAAGATAGTAGAAACCGCAGCGGGTTTTTTGATTTTCAGGATCGGGTCATTGGTTGCATCAGATCGGGTTTTTGTGTTTCCGTATGAACAACAAGAGGCAGGCACGTGTGATGCACAAAACGTGTAACAGCCTTAGTTCTGGGTGGTGCTTGTCGATCTGGTGCCGCTGCCGGCAGAAAGGCATCTGCTGATTGTTTTGCTGGTCTTGCTCCAACTTTAGTATTGACCCGTGTGGAGAGTGGAGATCCGCTGACTCCTCTCGGTTTCGGCAGGCTCTGAAGCCTGGTCGGGCCCGGAAACTGGCTGCCGAGGCCGTTGAGAGACTTGGTTGGCAGGTTGCGGTTCGGAGAACGGGGTCGACACTTGAGAGTGAGATATAGGAGATGACAGGCACAGTATAAGTCAAGAAAGCATACACGGATGCATGCCCGCACGTGCGCACATAGAGAGAGGTGTGGGTCTCTGTGTGTGTGTGTCTTCACTCAAAGACTCAACACCACTAGGCCGTCCCCGGGCGCCCTCTTTCGGAAAAAGTGAGAGACGAGTAGTCCCCAAAGCGACCTCAATACGTAAACGCACTCAGGAAGTTGGGCGTAAGCCCCGGCTGTGCCGCCATGTTTGTGGCCGCAGCGAGGGCGGCCCTCATCTCAGGAACCTCCCGGGGGTATCAAGGTGAAGGGCGCCAGAGCAGAGAGCCGCACGAACCATCCCTGATCGTATTGGGCATATCACATCTGTGTTGCGCTTGCCAGAATTCAGGCCCTCAGTGCGACATGAGTATGAAGATGCAGTGTATCATGCGCGGTCCAAATGCCGTGAAGACTTGTGCAGGACAGGCTACTGGTAGCAAGCTGGGGTTGTTCTGCGACGTCCGCTGCTGGCTGGCGATATGACGACTAATTCACGTCCCCTTCCACAGGTCATGGGTTTGACCCTGTTGGGCAGAGAGCGGGCAGGAGACGCCGCAGCGGCCGCCGCTGCTGTCAAGCGCGCGCGGAAGACCCTCGCGCGGGAGGGTGAGCTCTTGGGGCTCAAACTGATCACACAAGATCTCAGAAGTGCGCGTGAGGATTGTGGCATGTTAGTGCTGTTAGTGCCGTGTTCGGGCAAGTGGGATCGGGAAGTCTTGGGATTGTGCAGGTATCAACCAACTCGACATTGACACTTGAATTGAGCACCTTCATCTTTCTGTTGCAGCTCTTTATCTTTGCATTGTGTATCCTTGTGTCGTGCCCATCTATGTTTGTGCAGCTAGCAAAGCATTCCAGCAAGTATCGGTGGGTCAAGATGTGGGTGTAGCAATCGGACCAAGCGCTGTTCGGCAGCTCGCGCTCAATGTCGGTGTGCGAAACCCAGGGGTGATTTGATGTCCTGAGCCCGGGTAAAACGGAGTGTGTTTATCACAGCCAGTAGCCGGTAGCTTGTCAGAAGACAGGTTCTCTGAAAAGAAGCTCTCCAACTTGGCCGGCAGCGGTGGCAAGCAACTTGTAGAAGTCAGTTTAGGGTTGCTCGTGGTTTGCACGATGTTTATGGATAGCTTGTGTGTTGACAGCTGAGCTAGCAGGACTTAGAAAAGGGCGGAGGTTTGAGAGATTTCAGGGATGTTCGATGATTCAAGGTTCCCAGGCCTCGTTTACCCTCGAGGCGCGGCACGAAGAAGTGGATCTCGGACGGTGCCGAGAGCGATGCGCGGGCACGGAGTCTCGAGGTATTCCAGGACCATCGACAAAGGCCGAGCCCCGGTGCTTTTTTAAAACTGTGTTACAGCCTTTGAAAGCATGGCGCCTCAAGTCGCACATAAGTGGTCAGGGCGAGGTTCTTTGAGCAAATGCTGAATCTGATAGGATGCTTGTCATGTCGAGCTCGTTGCCTTAATCCCTGCAGTGAAGCGGCTTGACAGCTGCATATTAACCCTCAGAGTGCTCTCTCAACAGTCGCACTCTGAGCTTTCACACCCCAACACACCTCTTTAGTCAAGTCCACAGCAGGGAGATCCTGGCTGACCTGAAGGAAATCGAGGCCTTGCTGCCCTCGGAGCCTGGTAATGCCAAGGCCGCTCGAGGAATGCAGGGATGTGGATTTCCACGAGCTTGTGGGCGAAAGGCTTGGGGCATGGGCACGGTGCCGCAGATAGGCTTGGTTCAGAGATGTAAAATGCAGTCTTGGCCGGATCATCCGAAAGTCGACCTGCCCGAAGTAGTAGTCGGCACATCGCTAAAGATCATTGCGCTGAAATGCAGGTACCTGCAATCGACCTCCCAAAGCTCTTCATGCTACTCTGTCGACATGGCAAGAACAGGTAGAGGAAGGAGGCTTCTGAGGGGTCCGGCCTGGGTTTCTCGATCCAAGGCGAACTCTCTGCTTCGAGGACTACGGGGACAGCCAGGCGGCCGCCGCAAGCGAATCGCTCGCGCAGGCTCAGGGAACGGGACTCTTGTCCCAACGCCTTTCGAACTTGTGCACAGCATGCCACAGGCCTTGCACCGCCGCCTGTGTGAGAAGTTGGGCTTGGAGAACGGGACCGATGCTGCTGAGAAGCTTGGCAGTTCCAAAGTCTTTGCCCCGCAGCCGCATCGCTTGATGTGCCAGTCATATGCACTGTGCCTGAATCCATGTGGTCATGTCATGAATTAGTTGCCTGAGGACGGTGCGGCAGAAGTTCCGCGCTCTCACGAAGTGCAAAGGCTCCAAGAAACGGAAAGCAGCTGCGGAAGGGACGGAGGCTAGCACCCGCCAGCTCAACCGTCCTGAAAAGCACTGAGAAGTGTTTCTGGCGGCAACAGGTTTTCCGGACGAGGGCTTCGAATCCTTGGGCATAGTAAGGCCGTGTCCTCGAGCTTTTCCAGCCCAGATGCTTATGCTGACGTGATATATCCCTGTCCTTGGAAGCTGGTTTTCCACCCTGCCCGGGCCTGTAAGCCAATGTTCAAAGACTCATCTCGTCCGGATCCTCGGCCTAGGCCCGGGACACTCCCAAGCCCCGGAACCCTCCCAGTTCCGTGGGGTTTCGCCTGCTAGGCCACCGCTGGACTCAAAGCTCGGATCGATTTGCGTGGCCTTTTCGCCGAGATTGGTGAGGACTGATGCATTGCTGCATGTTGTGCCAGCATCGTGACTAGTCAGCTTCAAGAAGCATTGGCGTCACAGTCCTCATGAGAAGGGATACGATGTTCTTCGATTTTCGTCGTCATCACAACAACCATCACGAGTCATGATGCTGCTTCTGCCACTCCTGCTTTTGCCCATGTGCTTGTATTGCTTTTGCCCCGGCTACTCCTCCTTCAGTTATGCCTACCACGATACGTCTCCTCCTCCCTGCTCACTCCTCCCTCCCCCTCCTTCTCCTCTGCTGCTGATGATGATGATCATGATGATGAGGACGATGTGGAGGCCGGGCGGTAGCTATCAGTGCTGCGACGACGACGACGATGGCAGCCACCACCTCCGCTCCTCCTACCGTCCAGCCATCGTCTCTCTGCATTCGCCAGGGAAAGTGATAAGGATGCTCATATCTTGCACAACCTACATGGGAGAGCTCGAAATGGCGGCTCACACGACTCGAGCCGAGCTCTCTTCCCCGCGTTTCCCTACAGTCCTGCAAGGATTTCACACAGACGGTGCACTTGGAACTCTGCAGCGGTTCCGGAGAATGGCTTTGCTCACAGGCCCGGCTCCCATCTGCCCCGCATTGCTGAAGAAGCTACCAACATTCACCGCATGTAGCGGCATAGGAAATGTTCGCAGTGTGCTTTTTCACTTGCGCCGTTCAAAGCTTGATCCCTCTGGAGCCTGAGGCCTTGCGCGACACCTCGGTGAACTGGGTCGCCTGCGAGCTGCGCTTCGACCGCGCTGCGCGGTGCCAAAACACAGTTTAGCCAGCTTCTCCACAACATTCATTACATCGCTACATCGCTTCTTTACGCTAATTCTCACCAGTTCTGCTTGCTTCCCCACGGCACAATGTCTCGCTTCAAACACTTATTGACACTGACAATCATTGTACATGATGTTATACTGGTACCGCATCGACACGCTGCGAAGCCCTGGAGCAGCGCTGCCAGCACAAAGCTCGAATTGACTAGCATCTGGCATCTCATTTCCTGTATCGGCTACCACTATCCCTAGCGAGAGCAACAAGGCCTGATTCCTAGACAGAAGCTTCTTTCTTTGCTCTTCCCCTGTCCCGGCCTCTTCCCTCCCCTTGCGGCGGAGGTGCTTCCAGAGGTTCGCGCTTCGCGGCTTAGCCGCTGAAGGAAACGCCGGGCTCCTCGTGGGCGACGCCAAAGCCACCCTCGAGGCGCTTCCGCGACGGCTACGGCTCTCTCGGTCTCTCTCAGACTCTCTCTCTCCCTCTGTCGACACGGCCTACAAGCTGTTTTCCTCTGCGGGAGCTCCTGCTTTCGGCTTCTTGTGTCGGCAGCGACGGGAGGATCCAGGCTTCACATTTTCAGGCTCGAGGCATACTCTCGCGAAAGGGATGAGGACTCTGGGTTTAAGGATGTTTAAGGGTTCAGGGATCCAGCCCCCGAGGGTTCCGGGAGGCTTGCTGCATTTCGGAAGCTCTGTTTCACTGCACCAGAAGACTCGTGCTCCAGGCCCACCTGGTGCCTGGTTGTGTGGCACGGCTCTTCATTAACCATCCAGCGCCTGGATTGCAAGTGTCCTGAGGCCGCAGGGTTATTTGGTGCTTTGATGATGATTGTGATGATGGCTCTTGTGCTCAATAAGGGGGCTGGTGGTGCTGTGGCTGGCGGCGCTGGTGGTGGTGGGGGGCGGCGGCGCAAAACAGTGACAGCATGCTTGTGAGTATGGACATGGAATGGATGTGGTGCTGGTCTGGCGGAGAGGGTGTTGCGTTTCGGAAGGGTTTGGGAAACCGGGGAATCACTGAGGAGCCCCCGCACCAGACCGATCTCGAACGGGCAGCGCAGAGTGGCGAGGCTCGAGAGGCCGGTTCTCTCCACGACACGGCACGCAACCGGGCCGCAGCCGCCCTCTGCATGACGGAACTCTCGCATCTCTCGCTCTGTGTCCTTCCCCCAGTCACGCCGTCACTCGGTGAGTCGGCCAGTCAATCCAAGTACATGTATATGAAAACAACGTTCATTCATACGTGCAAACATGTACGATAGATGATATATGCATTGCAGCTTCAAGCTAGGATATGCGCAGTGGGTCATTACGTGTAGCTTGGCAGCCGAGTGCCGAGCAACTGTGCTGGCAGGGATGAGGCCGATGTTATCGCCAAAACGAGGAGCAAAAGCATAATTCCACGGTTTTCGCCATTGCTGACAAGATCAACCGAGTCGAATGCCTTTTGCTGACTCTACCCAACCGCAATTGCAACAACATAGACCCATCGACAACTGTTTAGCATTATTCACAGCAGTGTCACTTTCATCCCAAGCCTTTTGATACAGGCCGGCAGTGGGACGGAATCCACCCACCTTCTCACCCTGGCCTTCTTGCGAGATGCCTGCGCCGCAGTGCTGGCTCCTGAGGCCAGGGACTGTTTCAAGGTTTTGGTGAGATGTACAGTTCTGTTCTTGTTCGTTTCGGGCCAAGGAAGGGCCTTCTCAATACTGGCGCAACAGCAGCTTCGGCCATGATTGGATGCAAAGTTCGGACAGGGCACACTGACGGTCTGCACCGACAACCTCGCCTATGGCCAGTGGCTGCTGAAGGCCATGCTTCCAAGGTTCACGTGATGCAGCCCAAACGAGATTGGTTATTTCTTGAAGCCCATACCTCAGATCATAAGCAGTCCCCATGACTCAGCCGCATCTTTAAGAATCCGAACGTTGGAGTCCCTGCAGCATACATACGCGAGCAATGTGAGCGCTGGACAAGTATATAGATGTCCGAGTTGCTTCCATCTTGGTAGTTGAGTGGTTTGTACTCGTACCGCTTGCAGCAACTTTGCCCCAGAAACCCGAAAAGCGTTGAGGCTTAAGCGTTCCCATGCCCGACGGCCGGTGGAGGCCTTTGCTTCGGAGCCCTTGAGGGAGCTCTTCCAGGAGGCTCTGAAGGGCAAGGCAGGGCGAGTGCGTTTTGGCGTAAGAGGAGCTTGAGGGGAGTTGTTGAATCTTCTGAAGCTTTGTGCCTTGGGCTGCAGGGCTTCAAAGAAGGACTCGTGGCTGAGGAGAAGGGCTTCAAGCTGCGAAGCCAGCCTCCTCCGTGCGAGGCCACGCTTTAGGGCTGGCCTTTCGTAGAGGCTGGAGTGATTTCTGTGTTCTGGGCACCGAATGGGACCGGTGAGGTCGTTTTCTTGCCGGTAGAAGGCTTAAGCAGCCGAAACTTCGGAAGATGTGGTACACGGAGATTGCTGCCCCGCACTCATTCCAAAACGCCAAATTGGGAGAGGTGGCCGGAGCACTGTACAAGGGAAGCGACGGTGGCTCTTACTTCCAGCGGCTGAAGTGACTCGGAAAAACTGCTAGAATGGGGGACTTGCTTCCTCCCACCATGTATGTTGCAGGGATGAGATGTTGTTGCCGGAATCCCTCAGAGGGCCCACGAAGACAGGAAGAGTTAGGTCTTGCGAGCGGAGGACGAAACAACTTGCCGACTCTCGATGACCGCTGCAGTTAGAATCGAGAGGCTTAGTGGTTGAGCTCGTGGTAGGCTCGGCAAGGATTGAGCATAGTTTAACGGCATTTGGGAATTTGGGTTGTTTGCTGGCGTGTGAAAGCGAAGGCAGAGTGAGAAAGGCTCGAGAGGCCAGGAGAACGAGCGCTACTACCTCTGCTTGCGGAAGCGTGCGGGATGAGAAAAGTGCCTGCAGACAGGGTTCGGGCGATGGGCGCTTGGAGCAAGGTCCTTTCTAGAATCGAGACTCATTGTTTCAGCGTTAGTGTGGAAAATGAAGTAGGCAAAGCTACAGGCCCCCCAGGTTGCCTTCTCTTCTGCACTAGCACTGCGTGTTCCGTGACTCGCTGTGCAGGTCTCGCATGACAGGCTGCCAAACACTGGAAGCCCGTTCGCACAAGCAGAATCGTGAGGCATGCAAAAGGACGTGGTGCGCAACTCCGTGCATTTCTTGACGCAGGATTCCATCATGCATGGGACTGGATCTTCAGGCTTCTTTCTGTGCTTGTGACGTCTAGCCCGTTGCGTATGCTAGCTGCTAGCCCGTCACGATGGACCAGTCGAGAACACCTGGTGTTTGCATTGAGAGACTCTCATTCAGAGCGTATGCCACGTCCCTTGCAGATCCTGGGTCGGAACAGGGCCGTCCATGCATGCCCTGAACCCCTGAATGTTGAAGGGTTTGCCGAACACTAGCTTGGGCAAACCTTGGCGTTCCTATTGATCCCGATGGTTCTGTAGTCATCGCATTGCATGGCACTGGTGCTGCTTGCCTGTAGCCGAAGGCTTTCACAAAGGATCATTTCAGCTTCCGGGATTGTAATTGAGTCTGAGGTTGACGTGGTAGCGGTCCTGTAGTGAGTCTTCAGCCCTCTGGCCGACTTTTATTTAGCCTTCCCCAACCAGCCAAACAGCCAAACCCCACCGTTAAGCTGAAACCCTGACTGGGCCCCTACGCCTTGGACTCTTTGCCACCTCTGAAGCCAAGACATAGCCTGAAGCCTTCCAGATTACCACAGCTTTCCAGCTTCCTTTTAGCGCCGGCTGCTGATTCCGCATGGCGCCATGGCTTCAAGCGATGCCGATGAAGCCCATGTCAGCAAGGCGCAGGGGGACCCTTTAGCTCGGATGTAAATCTAGCCGTGGCATCAGCAGCAGCAGCAGCAACAGCGGCAGCGATGACTGCAATTTGGCCATGTCGCGAAACACTATAGGAACGTGATCTCGCTGTAGGCATGAGTGGCAGGAATCCGTGGAAGAGACTTGCTTCGAGCGCTTCGCTTCAGGAGTCTTGCGAGCGCAGCCTCCAGGCAACAGCGTCTGAGTCTCCGCCTGAAGATGTGCAAGAAGAGGGGAAGGACAAGGACACCCCGGAGACGAGCCAGGAGGCCGGGCTGGGACCGCAGTTAGACTAACCGCAGCCGACAGCCCGGAAGCACAGACATGTCGCCTGTCGCTGTGGAGGCAGATGACTGGTCAGCTTTGACCGACGAGCACCGCGCAGATGCCAGGAGTAGTACCTCAACAAACAGATCAGGACATGAAAGCCGGGAGGGGTTCAAGTTCAACTTTGTTTCGCAGAGATTCTTCAGATTCTTCAAGACGTGGCTTGGACCTGTTATATTAAACGGGGTGCCAACAGAATCAATAGAAGCTCGGAAAGTGTGTTTATTATTAGGGGTGTTTTTATCTCTACTTTTACTTTTGAGGGCTCTTGCTCTTGCTCCTGCGCAGCGTCTCTTGCTCTCGCTCGTACGCCTGCTCTTGCTGTTGCTCCTGCTCTTCCTTCTGCTTTTGCTCTTGCTTTTGCTTTTACTCCAGCTCTTCCTCTCGCCTTTGCTCTTGCTCCTGCTCTTGCTCCGGACCCCCTAATGCAGTTGAATGGCAGGGGTGGTTTCGAGAGGCTTCGCCCCAATGTCATTTTATTATTACAGTAGGGGGTGTTTAATAAAAACGGGAGAAGTGATCAAACTGAATGAAACAAGGCTGATTAAGAAGCAACAAACCGATGCATTCCGAAGCTGAAAGTCTCTGCTCTGAAGCTTCCGGCGAAGTGCAAGACAACTTGACCCCGAACTCGTCGAGGCTTACTCGGGCTGAAACTAGCTCCGCTCTCAGGCCCAAAGCTGCCTGCCAGTGTGGCCGAGTGGCTCCTGGAGCTCCGCGGCCGACGCCCGGGAGCCGCGGCCCCAGAATCCGAGCCGCAGAGCGCGGCATAGCGCCGCCCGCAGTCTTGGCATCTCCATCTTCCAAGCAATTTTCAGGAGTCGGCTTCGGCACGGGTTCCACTTCGGGAGTTTGAGGGTCAAAACGTCCTGAAATATCTTGGGAGCAGGTTGGTCAAGCATCAATTCTTCCTGAGGAGCAGTTGGGTCAAGGGTTCGGGAGTGCCTCGGGAATGCCTCGGGAGTGCCTCGGGAGTGACTCGGGAGTGCTTCTGGAGTGCCTCGGGAGACCCTCGGTGGTTTGACCTATGTTCTCCCGAGCCACTCCCGAAGTTGCGGTTCTGACTTCCGAGCCACTCCCGAAGTGCTCCCCAAGTGCCCACGAGCTCCATCTCCCGAACCACTCCCAAACCACTCCCAAGCCACTCCCGAGTTCCTAGGTAGAACCCCTGCATACCCGGACACCTGAAAACTCCCTTGACATCTCTTCTCTTCCCTGCGCTTCGGCGGTTTTGTTGCGAGTCCTGGTCGAGGACACGCTTCTTTTTCCGGAGCCGCTGAACCTCGGCGACCGTGTCTTCACGTCGGCATCCGTGGAGCGCGACTTCCGACGCTCAGTGACAACTTCAGTTTTTGAACAATCCAGCGCAAAGCACGCATATGCACGCATCGAAGCCTCCCATCACTCACTGAGACGACCAGCACGACAGCCTAGTTTGGATGTCTGCATGCTCCGCACTCCGCACCAGGTATCATAATAAGAGAAGAAGATACTTGCAAGTGTTGTCTCCGACAGACGAGGGGAACTATACGAAAGAAGCAGAGAAAAGACTCGGAGTGGAGGAATAGATGAGCAGAGTTTTGCAGGTAGCCCGAAGGCCTGAGGCAAGGCAACGGCGGCTTCGAGTGGGAGACACCAACATGACATGACAAGCTTCAAGCTCACCCAGGAACTGCCTCGGGAGCTCTGCTGCTGCGAATGGATCCAGGCGGTCACCGGTACATCGTGAAGTTCGCAGATGTCAGACAGGAGCATGCGATGATGTCTGCGCTGATGGAGATGAACCGGCGCTGGAAAGAGCACCAGGTCAGTGTTTGTGGTAGATCGGTGCAGACTGTCACTTACGAGATCTACCCCATCGGATCTTCTGGTGGGCTGATTGAGGCGGTCGACGGATGCCGGACATTGAGGGAACTCAAGCGACTCTGCCATCCGGAGACCCATCAGCGGGTATATCGGGCCCTTGCCGGCGATGCCAGCAAGCTTGACACCTTGGCTGCCACCACAGTGGCATACCTGACTGCTTGCTATGCACTCGGTGTGAGGGACGGTCATGACGACAACATCATGCTCAGGCGCGGGCGACGAAAGGCACCTTGGAGCCTTAGCTGTACGATGTTGAGTTCGTTTCCTGACATAAGTTTGGCCTGCAGGGAGGACGGATCGCTTTTCCGCGTGGACTTCGGCTTCGTCTTTGGGGCAACGCCGGAGATCGACACTCCACAGACCGTCGTGGCCCGTGCCGTAACCCTCGCTCTTGGAGAACGATGGATGGAGGTTCGGCTTTGTTCGAGCTAGAGCTGGCAGGGGTATCCAGGAAGGGTGGCACGCCGTCCTCGCTTGAGCAGGTCGTGGCTGCCTGCGGGGATTCGCTGACAGCGTTGACGGGCGACAGCTATGGCAGCCCCCCCGCGCTGGAGTGCTTGAGCAGCGTCCCAGAGACTTGCTTCGCTATAGCCGCCATCGTCTTGATCTTAAAATGTTGGCTGTGCTGGTCCGTCTGCCGAGTCAAGCGAAGACCAATATGCCGCGCGCCATGTCTTGCCCAAGGAGATGGAGCCATTTCTTCCACTGGCACGCACCTCCCTTGAAGTGTCAGAGTTAGTTTTGTCAGTGGAATCCTACCCTTCATCGACAATTCTGACCAAATGCATGCACTGTATGACACTGGTTCCATGCACAATACACATATATCTATGTATGTATGTACATACGTACGTATGTATGTATGTACAAACATGCACACATATACATGTCAATTCTGCCCTCGGCGGGCGCTTCAGCACAAAGCTTGCAATAATTTTCAGAAGCTTCACGATCAGACGGTGTCCCATCCACCGAGGGCTCCACACAGCTTCCTTGAGCCTAGCCGGCTTCTGCCGGGATCCCCAGCAGCTTTCGTTTGTTGGAGGATCCCTTCCTTTCAGTCAGTCTTCGGGCATTGATTGGGCATTGGCTCCCGGTTTAGGCAGCACCAGCAGAGCACCCCGGCATGTTGACATGTTGACGAGGTTTTGATACAGCAGTCTGAAATGTTTTTGAGATCACATCACATGCCTTGTCGGGTAACTTCACCGCGAAGGCATCTGAAAGTCCCTGGTTCCTTGACCGTGGCAGCACGAGAAGGAGCATACGAATACCAACCTTGTGTACACCATGCCCGTCTCGAGTTACTCTGTCTAGCTGCGACAGTATTGTCAACCCTTGTCCTTATCCTGTCGTCACTACTGTGTTGTTCATGATCCGTAGGCGATGCAGTGCCCATCAAGTCCATCTGGCTTTGAGGCCAAGATGTGTCCTGTGCCGATCAGTGGTCGTTCTCCCGGGCGGCGAAGAATACGCTGCGCGAGGATGGGCCGCAGGGCTGCTTTGGAGAGCGTCAGAGTTCGAACTCTGGGGCAGAATCAGAGTTGCAAAAACCCTTGCAGAGGGAAGGAAGGACGTAAACCCAAGACTCAACCTGTCGACCAGGCCGTCCAGTTCCTACGCGATCAGGCGGGGCTAGGCCCCGAGGCTCCCACGAGCCAGGCGGGCTCCCATCTTGCAGACATGGCAGGTCGACAGCAGTGCGACAGCAGTTCTTGCGTTCGGTTGATCAGGATGGAGTTTGGGTTCCGTGCACCAAGTATTGAGTAGTGGTAGTACGAATAATATCAGTTGTCCAGTAGATAGCTTGAACTTGAATTTGAGTTTGGAAGTTCCCCCTGGTCTACGACACTTGCATCTTGTTGCTTGTTGATCAAAGTCTCCGACACCCCTTCGACTCGGTAGGAGATGCCTCCGCCAGGCCAACAACAGCAAAGTTCTGGGAGACCTGGCGGTTTGGATGGAAGCCCCAGGCCAAGTCGGGAATACTGCCCGGGCCCACCTCGCCCTTTTGCGGAATCGTCATCTGTGTCACCTGCCCATTTGCCCATGACCAGCGACAGGGACGGAAGATGCCGAGCCCGACTTGGAGGCACTCGATCTGATGGGAAGAGCTACGAACACAATGGGCGATTGGGCTTTCTTAGGCACTGGACTGGAAAAGGCAATTGTAATTGCTTGCTGTGCAGCACTTCACTTCTTCTTGAAGGCTTGTGGAGCTTGTGAGTTCGGGCGTCGTCGTGGTCAGGGCCGTGCCACCTCCATACTTGAGGTTCTGCCGTGCAGTCTCGAAGTATACAAGACTCCCAGTAGAGTCTCTAGAAAAATGGTTCGAAGCGGGCCAGACCTACGGCTAGTGCCAGCTGCCGTTGCTGTTGCCCTTCCCAGAGCATCTCTCAGCTAAGCCGCACAACCCAGAACCGGAGAACTGGAGGCACATCTGAATTTTGTGCTCGACTCGGGTGTAGACTCTCGGCCAGATCTTTTTGAGTTTTCTGTCGTTCCTTGGCAGTTGAAAGCATGCTGCAGGTTGAGGCGGTTGCTTTTGCACGGGTAGGTTCAGGCTCGGCAGTTCCAGATTCCACCCGGCATGTGGGGAGCTCAACCGCTCCCCCATCCGACGCAATTGTGGTTTACACAAAGTGGACGAGTCAACTGGCTGGCGAGCATCTCTCTGAGGTATTGATTGCGATTATCCAAGTTGATTAACTACAATGTTGTCATCGCTGAAGGGCTACGTGTCCTTGGCCCGACTTTCAACGTCTCTGTGACACTGCCGCTGCAGCGGTTTCTCGTCCTGGCTGCTGCATGTGGAGTATTCGAAAGCATTAGTCAGCTGATCATCCATCGGAAGCTTCAGGATCTTTTGGGACTCTACCGGGCAGCTCCGGAGCGGTTTACGGCGGATGGGAAGCCAAAGCCTCAGCCTCTGACGTCACTACTCGACGACCATGGACGTATGATGCAGGTCATGCATACCAAAGGGTTCGTTAACTGGACCGGGTGGTTGCCTTGGAGTTCGCGCTCGCATTATCAGCATCGTCGTCATAGTTTAGTATCGCTATCGTCTCCATCATCATCTCGTTCATGAGCATCATCGGCAGCAGGATCATCATGGTGTGCCAGGGTGTATTACACAGTAGTTATGAAGTCGCTGATGGCAACAAAGAGGAGACTTAAGAAGGGGGCGCAGGAGCAGGACGAGGAGAAAGTTGAAGTTATTGCGACGGAGATGCTACCTGTAGTGGCGATGGTGAGGATGAGATGAGGACGGGAAGGGCTTGGGTTTAAAGGCTCTCGGCTTTTGAGGTTCTCGGTTTTGCGGTTTGCGGATTTGGGGTGTTTCGGTTTAATAGGGTTATTGGGTTTAGGGTGTTAAGTTCTTAATTGGTTTAGATGTGATGTTTTAGTGTTGGTGCAGGAATCCGCGCTGCGGTTGTTTCCAGTGCGCGATTCCGTTTTGTGGTGCGCAAATCGGGCTCCACCTAGCAGTGCGCTGAGGCCTCTCAACCTCCAAGACTTCGGGGATCTCTTCCTGGGGCCACTGGCAGACTTCGCCGAAGTGGCGCGTGAGGGCCTGGTGCAAGAGGACTAGATCTTTCTGGGTTTAAGTCGCAGCACATCGCCGCATTTGCCGTAGAGAGTGGAGAGTGCCTGCAGCTTGCATGAACTGCAAGTCTTGGCCGACTCTTTGCCACTGTTGCACATGCGGTCCGGTGGTGGAATAAAGTTCTCATGAAGGACAGAAGCAGTATGTGTCTTGCGTCTCAGGCTGTGAGAAGGTGCGCATGGTGTGGGGCGATGGACAACACACTCAGCAATGTGAAGACGGTTACTGTCTGGAACGGCAACGAATAGCTGATTGAACAAATTGGAGCAGTCGCGCAGGCAGAGAGAGGGCAAGTTCAACTGTTGGCAAAAGAACAAAAAGAAGCTGAAGGCAAGCGTAGGACCCCGTGTTCTACGAGTCACGAGGACCGTGGAGTTACACTGTAGATTCTGCAGATCACTAGACAGCAACAGCCGATGTCTCAACACACGGCTCTGTCACGGAGGCACGAATTCGTATGAGGAAGTGAGCACATGACGAACTTACTGCATGCTGTGCTTGTTGCGGAGCACACTGTGAGGTGCGGTAAGCAGTTTCAGCACAAGTGGCTCCCAAGAGTGCGAAGCACTTGTCTGAAAGGAGTCCAAGGCAGAACCGGACCGAACAAGGCAGGAAGGACGTTGGTTTGGGGGGAACAGTTGGAGCTTCGGGGCCTCAGCGGATTTGCGAAGACCTGAAGAGCAGTTCCCAGCGCGAATCCAGGGCTCCTATGCGAATTGCACAGGCCCTTCCCGATACCGAAGCTTCTTCCACGATGTCCGGATGGCCTCTTGCTGGCATTAGCTAAGTTCATGTAGCTCCCTTTCTTCGGGCTTCTGCTCTGACCGGTGTTATGTAGGGAAGCCAGGCACGAGGCTTGCATGAACGAAAGTTCATCAGAGAACCATCCGACAAGACCATTCATCCGAAACTGTGAACTACAGTAGCACGTCGCTCAGAAGTTTGTCCGGCTATTGCCGCTCCTGCATCCCCGCTTCGGATGCGAAGCCCGGCCCGAAGGCATGCCGGGGTTTACGGTTTGGGAGCTGCAGGCTGCAGAGCCTTCAAGCCAACACCCAGGTTTTCGAGCGCACTTTAAGCCCGCACCCATGAAGCCGATCCACGGACGCGGCCGCCCGGATGCAGCCTTATCAGTCCAAGCTGAGCTGCGGGGTCGCAAGGTGTTGCTGACAAATAGGTCTCTGCCCGAACGAAATTGGAGTGAGTAGCGAGTTCGCTTTGGCAATCACAAGAGCATCAACAGCATCCCCAACTCCAACGACAACAGTTGCAAGGGACAAAGCAATACAGAAGCACCAGCGACAACAACTATAGCAAGAGCAGGAGGAGCAGCAGCAGCAACAGCCACCCCCACGAACACGACGATAACGACACGACCAGGACCACGACGAAGCCGACGGCGACGACGACGGCCACTACTACGGCAACAGCAACACCTGTACAAGCAGCAGCTGCAAGAAGAACAACAGCAACATCATCAGCAACACGAACAAGAGCAAGAACAACACTCCAAGCCTGCATAAGCGCGCGCAGGGATATGTGACGGCAATGTACGTATTGCGTGACCACCGTAAAAACCGATGAAATCGGCATGTCGGTTTTGCGCATTTACGTGGGGTTGGAGCCAAGAACAAGAACAACAAAACAACATACTGAGAATATTGAGAAAAACCAACACCACCTTCATCACCACCCCCCCCACAACTACAGTTTGCACCACAACCACAATCACACCGACAATGACGACCACAACCACAGGGACAACGACGACGACGACCACCACCACCACCACCGCCGCAGCAGCAGCAGCAGCAGCAGCAGCAGCAGCAGAAACGACAACAGCAACGACAACAACCACAACAGCACCACCACCACCACCACCGCCACCACCGCCACCACCGCCACCACCGCCACCACCGCACCACCACCGCCACCGCCACCGCCACCGCCACCGCCACCGCCACCACCACCACCACCACCACCACCACCACCACCACCACCACCACCACGACCGTCAGCAGCACCAGCACCAGCAGGAGTAGCAGCAGCAACAACGGCAGCAACAGCAACAGCAACAGCACCAGCACCAGCACCAGCAGCAACAGCAGTTGCGGCAGCAGCAACATCAACATCAACAACAATACCAGCAGCAGCAGCAGCAGCAGCAGCAGCAGCAGCAGCAGCAGCAACCACAACATGCCGTACCAATTGCGGAAAAAGCAACAAGACCAGCAGCAGAGGCACCAGAGACACCACCTTCAGCAACAGCAACAAAAACAGTTCGTCTCGATGTAAGGCTCCAAATTGGATTATCATTGCGTTTTTTTTGACGGCCTTGTCTTGGCCAAGGTTCCAAGGGGGGTGCAACAGCACCGCATGGCTCCAAGGCCATTTGCCATTACGCTAAAACTTCCCGTTCGTGCACACTGATACGCTAGACTTATCCGGTCATCTTCTGTCGGTGCGAAGGCAAAAGGATTGGGTTGAGTTCTGAATTGGATGCTTCTGTGCAGAAGAGTGCGCCAATGCGTCTGCTCGTCGTTGATCAGGTGAGGAGCACGCACGAGGACTCAATCGTAGTTGGTAGCAGTTGACTTGAAGGTTGATGAGGTACGAAGCAGTGGTGTAACGGTCCCCAGACGACTGCTTTGGAGCTAGCTCAGTGCTCGACTCAACCAAAATTATCTGTCAGCGGTCTTTTGATGACAGATTTCGTGCATTCGAAGAGAGGTCATGTTGCGAATGACAAGCCTCTTGCAGCAGGACCCACGGCGCATGCAGAAGCCATTGCAGCCGTTTCCAGTGGATCCTCGCCCTTTGCACACCTTGCACGGTTCCTTGGTAAATCTCAAGCTGAAATCAAGTGGTGCCAGTAGACTTGAAGCCTTGATGCTGGGCAGTGGACTGGAGTCTAGACCTGGCAGCCGGCGACCTCCCCGGCAGTGCTCGCAAACTCTGTGTTGTATGTCAAGTACCCCGAAGATCCCAGAGCCCTACTGACACATAGTGTACATCCCTTATACATTTGTTTCCTTAAACCTCAAGATCAGGCTATTCTCCTGGGCCCGTCGGCGGCTACAGCCACCACACTGCCTTCCCAACGGCCCCGCTGCTCGGCTGAGACCAAGAGATCTGGGTGGGAGTTTGGCTTTGGCTTGGGCGCTGCCTTGGAGCTCAGATGGCTTCGTGTGTTAGGGTGGAGCTTGGAGGACCGCAACTTTCTCGTCCCCGAACGAGGGCCTTAAACTTCTTCGTAGACCTGACCGCAACGCACGGCTGTTGCAATCTGAAGCCATCTGAAGCTTGCGGGCCACACAGCTTCGAGTTGTCACAGTCGCTGTAGTATTGCCAATCGAGGTTCGGCACACCGCCAACGGCTAACATTTTTGGGCAGCGGCCCGGATGGATCATGGGACTTCAATTCCAGGTTGTTTCAGCTCTACTACACCCCCGCTTCCCCATGAGCTGCGCCAGCTTGGACGATAGCATCCAAATCTTCCGGCAACCTTCTGCCAGGAAGGTAAGGTCCCAGGATTTGTTGTAGTGATTCTAGTACTATTCCCTTTTGCTTCGTGCAGTTGTGTGTGTGTGTGTGTGTCCAGATATGCGCAGTTACATACATGTATACATATATAGATACATGAATGTACATATCTGCGCGTCTCGAGGGACTATGCTTTCAAAACGATGTGAAACGACAACCCCTGAGTTCTTCTCGAGTCTCGACACCCGCTCGCATCTGCAGCAATATGATTGCATAATAAACGCCCTTGGTCTTCGCGCTCTCTCTGCTCCCCCGGCTTCTCGGTCCTAAGCCTGTCGCTGTCCACGTAGCTTGAGGCCCTCACCAGCTTGGACTGCGAACGTCCGGTGCCAACACAGACTCCCGCTCTGTACTTCTGACATCGAAGTTCGTGGTTTTGTCGATGCTGGGCTCCGGAGGGTATGCCAAAGTAGCACGTCAGCTACCCAGGGTTGCAGAAGAGCTCGACAAATGCTAAGGCGGCAAGAGCCCCTGCTGCTTGTGCTGCTTCCGGTGTCAGACGGGGGAGGAACATCCTGTAAGGTTTGTCTAGGGAAATCTTGCGGATGTTTCGAAAGCCGAGCCAAACCCTCAATGTGCTTGAGGCCCAAAGCTTAGAAGCATTGCAAAAAGAGTGCGCTTGAAAGCATTTTGGCCCAAGGCACGCGGATGGTTTCTCTTGCTGGGAAACAAGCGCCCTCTCCGTCTTGGGATTTTGGAGGGCTATACAGCTTTCTACCTTCGTCTGATTTAGGGATACGTTCATTAGCTCCGGCCACGTGGTGCGTGCAGACTGCGCCGGTCCCCTTCTCAGGCCAGCCAAGCTGCTCGCCAGTCGGGACCGCTGAGCCGGGCGGAAGAGCCCGAGTCCGGGCGCCCAGTACTGAAAACATCAAAACCGTCGATACGGCCTTTCCTCCGCTAAAGTCCACAGGTTTGAGAATGTCTGGAATCGCCTCATGAATCAGTTTACGTTGAGGCTCCTCATCACAGCGCCTGTGTAAAGCCCAGCATGGAGCGAAAGAACTGAAGCCTTCCGAAGCCGAAGGGTGCAGCGAGTGCAGCCCCTCCCGGCTGATGACCCCTTCGCACGGACACCGCCGCTGTCTCCACGAGAGCTGCTCGGCAAGCTCTGGCTGCCCTTGCTCTGTGCGCTCGACTTCCGGTAGGTTTCGAAGTTATGCACAGGCGCTCAGCAGTGTGGAGCAGACACATGCAGACACAATCCTGGGTTTGGAGTACCATACTTGAATACTTTTGTTGGTACCTGTTCCTTCAAGGAACCATGATGAAATACACGTCTATACTTTTTTCTCTCCCTGCTTACTCCAAAGTCCAGCAATGGGGTGGATTGTCCCAAAACGTCCCGAGCACAAAGCACCGACAAAAGCTCCTGATTCAAGTCCATGAAACTGCCTGAGGTCCTTTCCGCGACTACTCGAGGTTCCCGACCAGCCTGCTGCCTCATGTAGTACGTACGGCTTTGTCCACGAGCTTGGCCAACATGAGCACATCCGTGCTCCGTGAACTACTATATACTGTCAGATGCAGACTTGTGAAAGTCTGGTTCTGCTAACACTAGGTTGTTGTGCAGAAGCCTACTAATCCGTTTAGAATCCGTTTCGGATGCATGGGGGAATGCGTTTGGTAATCCGTTTCGAATGCATGCTCGTTTGCAGGTCCGTTTTGGATGCGTTTTGAATGCGTTTTTTGGATCCGTTTTGGGGTCCCGGGGCTTGGGGCACCAAACGGATCCAAAACGGATCCAAAACGGATTTAAAAACGGATCCCTCTCAAGAAATTAGTGGTTTCGGCGACCCGCCGGGGGGACCCGTCTGGGGGACCCGCCTGCGGACCCGTCAGGGGCTCCATCTGGGGCCCGTTGCAAATTCGTTTTGGGGTCCCGGGGCTGGGGCCCCAAACGGATCCATCCAAAACGGATCCAAAACGGATCCCCAAACGGATCCCCAACGGATCTGAACGCATATTTAGGAAATTTAGTATTTCCAGAGTTAGCAGGCAACAGATTTTCACAAATGCAGACAAGAAGCACGTGTTCTCCAGGGCTTGTAGTAGCATCGTATAGCTACGTGTTCGTTCGCTTGCAGAGTGAGTCTTTCCCACTAGTTGGCATCATTAAGCAGCAGATCGGCTTCAGGTTGTGCCTGCATCACGCATCTTCAATTCCGGACTGCAGCTACAACCTTAGATTAGCCTAGACTCTTCTGAACGTGCGACACCGACAGGTCAGAAGGAACAGCAACATGTCGAGTACAGCGGGATGCCCCGCCCCCCCGGCTTTCCATGTTCACAGCCCAAGCGAAACCCCACCGCACCCCTCCCGTCAGGTGATCTCGGCGGGAGGCCCTGCTCAGGTGCAAATAGGGCCGCCCGGAATTTAAGATTGCACACGGAGCATCACCCAAGATCCAACACGATAAGTACGCGCAAGTCGGGGGTTTCAGTCTCCCAAGACATGTCGTAGGTCGGTTGTTACTGCCAAGGGTACAGGTCAACAATGACAAACATTTGTCACAGCGACAGACAGGTTATGCATTGACATGACAGGCAACGGAAGGTCTAGATATCCCACAACATACCAGGACGCAGTCGGTTCGGTTTCATAGGGCACGGTTCGGTTCATCGGTTCGGTTCGCAAAAGATTGGTAGAATGGTTGAAACGGTGTGCGGTTTCTTTGGTCGGGTCTGTGAGTTTTCTCCCCGCGATGCCTCGCGTTTCGGCGGCCGCGTGCAGGGGAGTTGATTTTTTGGAGCGTTTACATGTAGCGCTAAAAGCCGTGAAAAGCCCGAGCATGGGGGGAGTTGCTTTTCATTCTTTTTGAGCTCTTGGGGCTTAAAGCCGCGAAAAGACGACTCCCCCGTGTTTCGGCGGCCCGAGTGCGGGGAGTCGCTTTTTCTGAGCTTACCGACTATTCAGCGATGGGGTTTGGGGAGTGGTGTGGTAGTCTGGTAGTTGCTTGGTATCGGTGCGGTTCGGTGTCGATGTTGGGATTCGAGCCCAAGCCCGTGACTGCACAATTACCCTTTGCACCTGTCTGGCGGCTCCCGCGGAGGCCTCAAAGGTCCCTTAGACAAGCCCGGGAAAGGGGTTGGGCGCTCGGAAACTTCAATCGCGAGCGTTTTGAGCTTTTCATGGGCTGAGAACTCGAAAATGAGCGCGTTCGTAGGACGGTAAACAGACAACTTTCTTGAGCGACGGAGCAGGCTACGAACGCCCCTTGCTCCCCAGGCCCCAGCCCCAGCCCAGGAACCCAGACCTGCTAACAGACGACGTGAAGCTTGGAACATGGCGCCGGCAAAAAGAGCAGAGTGTAGTACTTGTCATGTTAAGAATATCGTGTCTTCTTATCGCGGTCACAAAAAACTGACATGGTTACAAAATTACACACATCTGGCGCGGCTACACCCCACCCTCAAGAGGCATGTGTCATAGCATGGCACCAGGAACACGAATCTCCCAAAAGGTTCAAGTTTTGAGGCTTTTGAGGCTTCGAGGCTTGTGGCCGCGCAGCTCCTTGCATTGCAGGCCTGTGCTTTCCAAGCTGCCTCACCGAGCTTTGCAGGGCAGGGGGCCTGGGGACTCGTTGACATGTAGGCTGCAGGCTTGTTTGAGAATTTCCACGCTCCTTGAGGCACCTACCGGCCACATCGCCGTCGGCTGCTTACATATGTGGAAGTAGATCCAGACATGTCGCCGCACGCACTGTCTCCTGGTCTTGAGCACCTATCAAGTTTGTGCTTCGAGGGCGACTAGTGCGGGTTGCTTTAATGATGGGAGTGTTTGTCTCCTCTTCGTAAACCAGTGGCGAGCGTCGCAGCAATCTAGAAAGGGACGCCATACTTATAGCAAAAGAGCCAGTCAGAACTCGCATGCCGAAGCAGCACAGAGCATGTAAATTGCTCCAAGAATCCGAGTCTTCGAACTTCCAAGCTTCACAGCCACTGCTCGCGCTGGTGAGACCTGCTGAAGGCCAGGATCGGCACTGCTCACCGGCCTTGGCCCCTACCAGCCACTTGGCGTGGCTTCAGACCAGAGCTTCAGCATCATTTGGCATCTGCGGGTTGCAGGACATATGGTGCACGATCTTGTGCTCAGAAGTCGCCCAGGTCGGCTCGCCCCATGAGCTGCGTCGGCCTCCCAGTCCCTCTCAGTTTCGTTCCCCAAGCGTCGGAAGATGAGGCTGGCCGCTCACCAGAGCCGCTGCACGCCGGTCCTCGCAGAGCGCAGGACAGGAACATCCCGATGTCCCAAGTTCGGGATAAAAAAGTAGCAGCTTCACGGAGTTGGTATGGTGCTGAAGGTGTGGAGCATGGGTGCAGAAGCTCAAGCTAAATGATGGTCGCCAGCTTGGCGAGAAGTGGACTCGTGGCCAAGCCATCTCCAATTGAGTCGAGGTAGTAGTCTGGCCAGTTCTATGATCGACGGAGAGTAGTGACTCTTGCGAGAACCAACTGTTCGTGGAGTCAGAGCTCAATACTTCCTACTTTGGGTGCCTGGTTACGAGCGCATTGCGATCTGAACCGCTGCATGTATTTCGTCGGATCTTCGACCGACGCCGGTACGCACCGTGCCCTATAGTTGTTAAGGGAGTTAGCTTGTTGCGTACGACCTGTGCATAGCGCAATGGAGACTTGTTTTTCGGGGTCGGCGTTTGGATCCTTGCCGGACAGGCTGGTGTCGTAATTACAGACTATAATGTTGAACGGAAGTCGGTATGACCCGGCCCTGTCGTCACCCTGAGCACGGCAGGTTCCCGAGAGCTTGTTGCTGCCCTGGCCGTAGCCGCGGCCCCTGTAGTCCACAGCGTGTTTGAGGCTTGGGCGTTCTTTGAAAGGGCTGAAGCCTTCATGGGCTTGTTTGGATGTTCTGCAGGCTTGGCACTGGAGGCGGGAAGTAAAGACTTGGTATTCCCGCTGGGGACCGGGAGGCATGGTCTGAAATCTGCTAAGGCTGCTAAGTGCCAAACAGTTGCCAGCGCCAGCGACCGTTTACCGTGGGTCTCTTGCGGCCCGAGTCATCTGGGAGCAACACAGCGGCTAATGCAGCACCGGCTCAATGCAGCAGCCAAATTTCCCCGAGAGTCGAGTTAAGACCGAAGCAGTACAGTCACTGACAGTCACTAAGCCAATGACACCGAAAGCCGAAAGCCTTCGACTGACACGGCCCGGCCGGCACCGGCATGCCAGTGGAAGCAGGCAGGGTTGAGGGCGAGGATTTGGGGGCTCCGAATCTCGACTTCTACAAGTTGTGCAAAGCCCTGCGCAGAAAGCTGCTGTTTACGAACTATGAGGTTACCAAGGTTACGCTGCTAGAAGCAGGAACACAGGCATTTGGGGAAATCTATAACAAGTGCTTATTGTAGAGCCTTGGTCCAGGCATGCGCCTCTGTGCGCACAAAGGGCGGGAGATGCGCGCGAGCGAGAGCTATGCAATCATAACTTTAGGGGCGAACTGCACAGTACCTGACCTCATGGGCAAACACGTCAAGCTTTGCGAGCCCGTGAAGACAGGCAACAGAACGCGTGCCTGTCTACGATAAGGGCACCCCTTAAGCCCTGCGAAAGACGAGAAGACAGGCTTGTTGATGCCGCAATTTTCCGATCGCGTTTTCCTCCTCAAGTGCACACCACGAGCTCGTGGTCATCCCAAGGCTTCTAACCCACAGAATGAGAAGTTTTGTGCCGGTGACCGCTGTGCCTCCGGACGCACTCCCCTCGAACACTTCAGAAGGAAGGCGAGGACCTACCTTTTTCAACACGAGCAATCCCAAAGAACATCGCGAGCTTTCAGCTATGACCCCCCCCCAGGAGCAAAGAAAGAGCCAGCGAGGTAGACCATCCAATGACTAGCGCATTTGCATCAGGCGTGCTTCTTCCTCCTGGGAGCGTCACAAATTATTCTAGGGGCTGCGCCCACGGGCGGGCAGCGCAGAGAGCAGCCTGAAGTGAGAGTTTGGGTTCGGCTTCTGTTTGCCCCTCCTCTTGCCCTTTCAGCCTTCGTCGGCCCTCCATGTAGCCAGCACCCCCCGTCCGCCAGACCCCGCTGATGCTGATGATGCGCGCCCTTTGGGGGCTTCCGCAACCCACTCAAAAACTTGGGAGTTACGACTTCGCGCCCACGTCGCGCCGCCGGCGCCGGTTGCGGGCGCCCGAGGGCTCATGATGCTCGCCTGGGGTCGTCCGCGACGGCCCCGAAACCCGCCACACCGCGGGGAATGGCTGCGAAGCGCGTGCGCGTTCCGAGACGCCTCCGGGCCCGGCCCCGCGCGGCCCGAGGGAGAAACGAGGGTCCGATGATGCGGGGTCCGGGGCGGGTCGGCGGCACAGGCGGTCGTGGCTTTCTGCTTCGCAGACGAAGCCCATTCGTCTGAGCCATAGCTCAGTCCATACAGGGCAGCGAAGCGCTGCCCGATTTAAGAGCCTCCGGCTCAAGCCGCCGACCCCGTGGGCGACAGACCAGAAGCCGAATGCACTTGTACAGGCAAAGTCGTTTGGTGTCCGCGAGGCCCGTAGGTTTAGTTCTAGAAGGAGACGCCAAGATGGGAAGTCAAAGCCTTACCGCAGGACCTAAACCCGAAACCTAAACCGTCCTGAAACCCTATGTTCAACACCTTTAGAACCGTTTAGGGTTAGGGTTTCAGGCACAGTGGTCCTAAACCCTCAAGCCGACAAGCTTCACTGGTGCTTCTAAGATTGTGAGACTAAACGGGAACCTTCAAGTTGACAAGCTTCGCTGGTGCGCTTCTAAGATTGTGAGACAAAACGGGGGGAAGAGGCGGAAGCACGCGAGGCTGCGCGACGATCACGCGAAGTAGGAACAAGGAGCACTTTGGAGCGGAGATGCCAAGGTTGAAGAGGAAGAGGTTAACACCTCCAAGCCCATCGAAACCCATCCAACACGCCGCCAGGGTCGGCGGATCAATCGCCCATGCCCGCCTTTCCCAAAAATCAATGGCCAGAATCACAAACCAATGTCTCAGTTTCAAATGTCTCAATCACATCGCCGAGGTGTGAACGGCGTAGAACTGCACGAATCCTCTAGCGACACCCAGGCCCATCGCCGAAGTTCGTCGAAGGCAGTTAGTTTTTCCAAATTTAATGAACTCTGTCGAAGCAACGTTGCCCCATTTGTGTCACCCTCTGGGGCTCACCACACTACTGAAGGCGAGGTCCAGAAGACGGTCACGGACAAGTGGTCTCAAGGGGAACGCCGGAGCCACTTAGGCCAAGGAAGCCGTCAACACCAGGAAGGCAACGGAAACAAAACATTCCACCGTTGCATGAATTAAGCCTGTGAGACAAAACACACACGCCCAAGCAAACAGTAGCCGGGCGGAGGAAGTTACCACTACCGCGGGGAACGGGTCGGAACACCCAGCAGACGATGTGCACGTAGTGTGCATTGTGACATTTCATTGCTATGTAATTAGATCAGCCCTTACCAGCATGCGTAAGCAGGTACTGGACAAGCAAAGGAGTAGCTATGAATGGACGGCTTCGATGTTGCTACCAGATCGGACCCTTTCGAACAAGGTAGACCCTCAAAATGTGCCTCTGCAGCAGGCGAGGTTGCTGGCGACCGATTCTGCACTGCAGAGGGTATCGTCATTTTCGAGGGCAAGCCGCACAAAGAGAAGGCAGTCGGCCGAAGATTCTGACCTGCGTGACGGAATGTTTCACTAAGTGGCCTCCTGAGGGAGGCTTAGGGCCTGGGGCAACATGTGGTGCAGGATGCTTAGGCGTGAACAAATAATCCTGACGCGCGGGCTGATATCTTGAGCAGATTCGCGCGTGGAAGCCACGAACAAAGAAGCTAGCTTTGCTACCGTAGTGCCCACATCCGCACCCGAGCAAACAGGTTCTCTACGGCAACCTCCTTTGGGATGGTGCCCTTTCGCTGTGTCGGTTTTTTGCATCGGAATGGTCTCCTGCGGTGGCCGGCCTGGGCCTCTACAATCCGCGAGCGCATACTTCTGTGTGTAGTATAAACAGCATAATAATTACCAAATTACCAGTATCAATAGTATAGATAATTACCAGAGACATCTAGGTATGCATGAAATCTAGGTCGAAAGATACCATGGTACTTATACCACAGACATCATTCCACCGCTCAATCCTCAAGTCTGATCGTTAAACTAAACATGACTTGAAACCTGATGATTGTTGACATCGTGTCACGTCACATGATACTAGGTCAAACAATGATACCTTCGTCGTTCAGGACCTCCACTACTATTTCCTATCATGTCGCATCATGTACTGCTGTCTCAATGAATGAAAGCTTCCGGGCTTACTACTGCATGTTTGTATGTCCGGACCAAGATGAGCTTGCATGAAGAGCATAAGCGAGGCACGCATCGGGGCTTTGGCTTTGGGAACCATTCACTCCGAAACAGCTGATCGGAGAAGGGGCATAGGGCATAGCCGGCATATCGTTTTCGTTTCAACCCGTCGCGGAATGCCGGGCTTTGCACTCTGCACTGCCCACAAACTTCGTGCAGCAAAATTTAAAGCAAACCTTCTGCCCACGACAAGCAGCAGGACAGGCCCCTCACACCAAAATCTTCCTCTGCCCTCTCTTTCTCAGGCAAGTCTGCCCTTGAGCTGGGAGCTGGTACAGGCTGCGGGATTGAAAATGCAGGGCTGAGTAATGACTGTATTGATGATCACTGGAGCTTCCACCACTTTCATTGGCTCGCTTCTCTCAAACGGCAGATGCTGGTAAGGCCAGATACTTGCTGTTCCAAGCGATGCTGATGCAGGAGTCGTGGGCCTGACGCTGGGCCATCTCGGCGCGGCCTGCTGGCTTCACTTTATGCACACAATGCCATGGCGGTAATACAGCTGCAGCATGCCTGTTTTCCCAACACTCCGCCCGGACTCCCTTTGATCAGAGCGAAGGCTCCGGTCTGCATCACCGACTCGGAGAAGGAGTTGATACCGTTGATGGAGCAGAACATCCAGGTGTCAGCCGTAAGTCAGGAATCAGGAAGTCTGCTGCAGACCGTCACCAAATCCTGCAGGCCAACAGCCTCGGTTCCTGCACCATGGCCCGCCGCCTGGATTGGGGCGATGAGACCAGCTACATCCGCGAGCCGCTGCACTGAAGAGTCGATGACGGAAGGGGCAGGCAGAAGGCAGACGAATGCGATGAGACCACCTCCTGCTGTGCAAGCCTCGAATCTGAGCCGCCCTGGCCCGTCTTAGGAAGCCCGACCTCCTTGTCGCAGCTGCACCTTGGCCAAAGATAACGTGGCCGTGAGCTCCAGACAGAACCCTACAAGCCCCGACACAGGACGTGCTCTACGAGGGTGTCTCTTGCCTGCATCC